TTCAACATGATAAACGTCACGCGCTCACGAGTTCATACATAAACGGGACGGATATGTGCCTTAGAGGAGTTTGTCTAATGGTCGTGGGTCGTGGGTGTGGGTAAAAGTCGTGGGTGTGGGTAATGATTAAAAATTAATTCTTAATCAAAATTAATAACTAACAATGTTACTAATTTTTGTTTTGTTTTTGTGATTTTTTTCAGTACTCGATAACAAAATAAACATAACACAATGTATGAAAATGGGTGGGGTTGGGTAAAGGCAGGAACCCATAGGAGCTATTTTCAGGACTGGTGTAATCTCTTGATAATATTTTGAAAAAATTTGTTTTGGTCAAACGCTTGAACAACACGCACACAAGTTAACTTAATGCTAAAAAGAGCAAATCGGAAAATTAAGGAAGCCGGGATCAGTTCCATATAAGAGTAGTCAATCATTATTTATCTGAACAAGCAATACGATGTTTATCTTTGAATTGATCCCAATTAGTAGACACGAAAGAAAAGCAACGAGTTTGGGGCAAAAAACTATTTATTGAAAACTACAGGCTGTAAAATAAAGCCCAGGGAGGGTGGGGAGGGTAAAACAAGCGAGGAGAGGTCGCAAATGACCTTTTAGACGACGCTGAACTCTATATAACCGGGACGAAACTTGACGCATGAGAAAATGCAGGGCGTGACAGGCCGCATATCTAAACCGGCGTGAAACCTTGTGTAAACCGTTTATATTTTAGCTCTAACGAGCAAAAACCCACACCCACACCCACGACCTGTACCCACCACCCACGACCCACGACCATTAGACAAACTCGCCTTAACGTTCTAAGGGGTTCTGGCTAGGGTGACAGGCGATCCACTCCATTGGTCCAGGCTCCTGTGGCAAGAGTGGACGGCAGATGGCTTTATTTATCTACGCGTGCGCAATAGGTATAAACATTTTATGTACCGACCGATGTTTACAGAAGACAGAAATGGAAATGCCAACAGTTTAACTTTTTCACACTAAGTTTACGGGCTTGTATAATCTAGCTTAACATACCATAGAACTTTTAATATTTCGTCACATTCCCGACTCACATAAATGTCACGCGTTCAGCAACCCGCCCTGTCAGATATGACTGGCGCGTGCATGTAACCCGCGCGCGTGTGCAATTAACCGCTTAGGGCCCTCGTGAGTGAGTTATTTTGTTCTCGAACTCTTTTCGAACATACCAATGGAAACACTCCCAGCTTAATTTTCGTTCCCCTGGGGCTTGTATACACTAGTTCCACGTACCATAACTTTTGAAATATATTTCTTAATGTAGTTAATGTAATCTGGCGCTCACATAAATGTCACGCGTAAATGAGTTAACGTGCAAACGCGTGGGATGCCACTGGCGTGTGTCCATACATCATAAGTGCATCATTTGATTGTTAGGTGATATCCTCTGTATATCAGCAAGGCAATCTTTTCAGTAACGGCTTCTGGACTGAACTGACAATTTGTCCTTGGGAGCACTTATAGCATTCTTCTGAGGTTTAAGTTTTACTTCTAAGAAATGACCACTAACAAGGAGACGGTAGGAAGATCGATTCTCGCAAGTCTCATATCGACCTTGGGGCCTGTGAGCTTCGGATACTGTTTAGCATACTCATCATCGGCCTTAGTGGATTTGTCAAATGATCAGACAGATCCCGCTATACGATTATCTGACTCGCAAGGATCCTGGTTTTCGGTGAGTATTTTCTTTTCTTTTCTTTTTTTTTTTGTGCGCTCACGCTAAGCATTATAAACTATATTTTGCCGACATACAAGGCTTTTTTTAATTTGAGTGTCTTGTACAAAATAGTCTATTAAAAAATAGTCTGACCTGTAAAATTACGCACGCTTAGAATCATGTAGTTCTATATGGAAGGAATATCAAGTAAATAGAAATTTAGAAGGGGTTAATTCCGCGCCGTAAGGCAGACGCTTTTTAAAACCCATTTTTATAGCATGAAATGGCCGTCATATTTTCTCTTGTTTGTGAGAAAAACGACATGTTGGAGCTGTTGAAACTGGATCGACGCCACACCAGGCCACATTTTTTCCTTCCTTTTTTGTCTTTTGCGTAAAAAAAACATAAATACAAACACAAACAAAACCAGCCTTAAAAACTACGCAGTAGCTAAAGCGAATGACATTATTATGTAACGGTTTCGACCTTCTTTCCGGCAAGTTCATCGGTCCGGGGGGTATTCCCGAGAATTTTGGATAGGGGTGTGCCGCGAAGGTTCGTGAACCCTAACCCTATTTAAGGACTAAGAAAGCGAAAACTGATACCCTTTTTAAGGCCGAAAGCCGAAAAATGACACCCTATTCAAGGAAAAAACAAAATTATTAATAGAATGAAAAGGAAAACTTTATTTCTTCTCTGTAACATTGGATGTATAGCATCAAGCATAAAATACTAGAATAAGCCTAGTTTAAAAAAAAATGTTTGTTTAGGCGGGCGTTTTCACACTCTAGTATTAGATAATACAATTAAGCTACCCTATCTAAGGACCACACGATGGACACAGAAACAAAAGGGTTAAAAAAAGATATCCTATTTAAGGACCGAGAACCTCAAAAACCATACCCTATTCCGCGGCACGTACCTATACAGCCCATATATATGGCCTAATCAACACGGACCAAATGCATAAATCTATAAAAACGCGCATTTTTGCTCCCTTGCAGGAATTTAATTATATCTGCTGAAACAAACATCGCTGACTAAATCAACTCAACCGGCCTAAATTAATTTGGGTCCCGCTAAATTCGAATTCGACTCGGCTTGAGTGAACGCGCCCTTACAGGGTTACAGTAGCACTTAACTAAAAACATTGACATCGAATGCTGTATTCAGCACAGAGCGAGAGTGCCTGTTTTGTCTTTTATAGGTATTTCTTTACGCACAACCCTGCCTAAGTGAAACCTGCATTCGCCACTTAGAAACTACCGTTCACCTTCGCGCAGACTACTGGGACTGTTACTAGGGAGCGCTGGAAAAAAGCTGCCAATAGCTGACCAGCGCGTCCCCAATAACGACCCCAGAGACAATTGCAGGACGAATTTTAGTTCCAGCCTCTTTTCTCGTTTTAAAGGAGCGTCAGGAGCCCGGATGAGCTCCTGGTGGCGTACTGTATGGGCAAGGATATTGGCTTTCCGTCCTAACTACCCAAAGTAAGACAAAAATCTGCATCTTAAACCCCTAGGTGAGACGAAAAGCATCCCTTTCTTGCTCATATTGCCAGAATTCATACCATGAAGGGATTATCTGATTGGCTATCAGCAGTCCTGATTCCAGCATTAATTGGGTAGTGAAATAGGGCAATATGCGTCATGCTTAGGCAACTGTACAATACGCCCCATGGGCCGGCACGCTCCCACTTCCCGCAAAAAAAAAAAAAATTCGGAAGATCTTGTGATTTTAAGAAAAGCTCAAATTATTACAAATTTTGTTATAGCTATGATTAACTGGTAACAGAATTTCGTATCGTCCAATTTGGTCTGTAACTTACAGATCACAGACCGAATGGACTTCTCTCAGTTTTACTACTATCATTTATATAGCCTGTTCCAGGCTCCGAGAAAGCGGGTGAAAAGTCGTTCAGTAAAAAGAAATGCGAAAAACGCGCGGGGGCTGGGGAGAGAGAGACATTTTTCCCGCCGCCACTGGCACTGGCACAGGCTATCAATTATAGGGTTAACAATACAATTGTAAGACTCACAAAGCTAGACCAAGATAGAAAGAGCACACCGAGCTAAATGCTCAAGTATGGTGTTTATCGGGCCAACAGTAAACAATGAGATCGATATGCAGCCATTCAAAAACCCCAAAATTTACTGCGAAGAAAGAAGACGTCGGGAAAAGTAGCGGGCGACACGTACAGTCTTAGCAAATTTTCAAGTTTTTTTTTATACTCTATAACTCTCCTACCCGCCCTACGGAGCGGGTAGGAGAGAACCCTGGGAACGAGGTTGGGTCTCGTGTAATACATGAACTCGTGTCTAGTCCCTAGGAATTAGGGCAATGGGACTAGTCCTGTAACTGAAGCTTTTTTTTTTTTTTACCCTTCGCGGTGCAGGTACTGGCTGCCTTAGCTTGTAGCACAAGCGCAAGCCCTGTCGTTTACGCCAGGCTGAGAAATTGCTCGTGATCAAGAGAGAGAATAGTGTTATAGTTTAGCCCTTGGGATATGTGAATTTCACTTAAGTTATTTAGAGGAATCAAAGGTTTCAAATTAATGGGAAGTTAGTTGCGGAGAGTTCAGCAAACGTTTATTCAGTGTTATCAAGAGAGAATTGAACTGTCGCCATCACAATATTCTGCATTATTTGCTACAAGGCAGTCGCCCGTGGACTTGATGACGTTTCAAACAATTGATTAAAATGTGCGGACTTCTCAGGAATTAGACGTTCATTTAATTACAACTTCTAAAAATAACTTAAGCAAAATTCACATATCCTGGCCAACGCCCTAAGATTCTCTCTCTGTGCCATTATTCTCTTCTACTGCGGTGATTGAAAACATAAAAGTGCGAAATCAGGAGCCCATAATCTGGAGCGAGCAACTCCCACACTAGGCCTATGTCACGGCGTTTTTACGGACCAGTTTATTTTTAGACACATTTTAGGGCAATATATTTTTCCCGCGAAAATAGAATCTCCGCCACGTCAAATATGAACGCATTCGAAGTACGAGATATCCAAAAGGAAAACGCAACGTCATTAAAAGGCAAAAAATATCATTTTTAGGCCTGTATGGTTTGCTGACTGGTTTGTGGGACTTAAAATATCTTCTAAATTCGCGCCAAAACCGTTCTAAAAATAAACTGGTCCATGAAAACGCCGTGACAGAAGTACATGGAAGTTGCTCGCTCCAGGCGAAATCCATTCTTCCACTCATGCAGGCTAGAAAAGTGTCAATCACTCTCTCAATCTCTCTCTGCCTCTCTTATTTATTTTTTCAGTCTTTAATCACTGTTGGAGCCATGATTGGGTCATGTATAGGAGGATGGTTAATTGACAAATTTGGTCGCAAGGGCAGCATTCTTATGTCCGCAGTTCCCTTTGAACTTGGATGGCTTCTTATCAGCTTCGCAAAGAATCACGCCATGCTGTACGCTGGTCGCATTATAACTGGCTTGGCCTGTGGAGTGGTCTCACTTGCTGTTCCAGTAAGTCGTTCTTGAACCCTCTCCTGCGCCGACGCTCCCTTCGGGCATTCCAATAAAAATGCAATAATCAAAAAATAGTAAGCGCGTGATGGACGATAGGAAAGAAGAAAAAAGCGGGAGCATCTCTTTCTGTCTTACCCCTTCCCATCATCCTCCTCTCGAGATAATTGGTCTTTGAAAAGGTTCGCCGGAGAGAACAGCAGTTTCGCGACGCCACCACTTGTTTCCCTGTAAAATGTGACGCCTGAGAAACTAGTGCAGAAATTCCACACTGATGACGTGTGACTACCCAGATCTACAATTCTAGGTAGTGCTTCTGATTGTCGTGCCTCGTGGGAAATTTGTCTCAGCCAATCAGAAGCACTACCCAGATCTGGGAAGTCACACGTCATCAGTATGGAATTTCTGTGCTCGTTTCTCAGACGTCATTTCGCAGAGAAACCACTGGTGGCGTCGCCAAATGTCGGCTGTTCTCTCCGGCGAACCTTTTCAAGGACCAATTATCTAACCCTAACGTGTCATGCCTAAGTAACTGGACAGTACGCACTTAAATGACTTGTTTTCACCGATAGCGAAAAAACTCCTAGAATTTCTTGTGTTTCCATTTAAAAAAAGCCTAAAATATCACAAATCAGTCACTTGGTTACAGAACTTTGTGTCGTCCAATTCGGTTTGTAATGGTACTCGAATCGGGCTCGGCGCAACGCAGTCGTCCGATTTTGTTGATCACTCGTATGAATACTGGCTGAATTGGACTCCACTCAGTCATATTACCATTATTAATGGGACTATGGTACATTAATATTGACTTAATGCTTCTTTTAAAGATTTAGCTAAAATAGAGTTACACTTCGTTGAAAGGAAATTAACTTTATAAACGCCCCCTCGATTATGCGTCCTCCTGCTAATTTGCGCCCCTTCTTCTACCCAAGTCGGATACAGTTAATTTATACGGTAGCAACTTCCTTCTTAAGAGGCAGATCCAGAGGAGGGCCTCCCCCTTATTTTTAGACTAAACTGAGGTCCGAGGGGCTTGAACAATTTCCCCCCTTCCCCCCTTATCTCAGGGTCTGGATGACCACCAACCGCCCCCCCCGCCCCCTTATCTGAAGGTCTGGATCCGCCACTGTTATTAGGGAGCTTAAGCAGCGACGTTTTTGAGCGACGCACGTCAACCGGAAGTGAGGTATTTTCCCTCTTAACATGCCTTGATGATATAAAATTTGTATTCCTTAGCTTCTTTACTGTTGTAGAGGCGATTTGACTGAAAATTTGCGCGAAACCACCGTCAAAAAATGAAAAAAGGCCACTTCCGGTTGACGTGCGTCACTCAAAAACGTTGCTGCTTAAGCTCCCTATTAGGTCTTATTAGAGATCTTCAGATTCGACGACGAGGGAGACTACGAGGACGAGATTTCACTTGAACTTACCTTGCGTATTCTAATAGAATATACGCCGCGGAAAGTTTATTGTACTTTTTTTCACCTAAAAAATTAGCACGGTTATTTTCTCTTGAAGGAGGTTAAGCCCGGGGGCGGGGGGGGGGGTACTCCCATACATTACCTATACGGGTATGTGCCGCCCAACGGGGTCGTGATTTTGAAGCTCCTGATTTAGAACGGGGTATCCATTTCAGAGGCGTTTTCTAGAACGGGGTATAATATTTCGAACGCACGAAAGCTCCAGTTTTGTAAGCAGCCATTTGAAATTATTCAAGGACAGATTGCTTTTAAAAATACGGTTCAATGCGTTAACAAGCAAACTGTTGTACTCTTTGCACCTTAGAACGGAGTATAAAAAATTGGCTCATTTCTAGAATGGGGTATCAGTTTTAGGGCGAATTCTAGAACGGGGTATCAATTTTAGGGGAATTTTTTTTTAGAACGGGGTGCCAATTTGGAGTCCCGGGCGGCACATACCCACCCAAAAAATACCCAAGTGCTGCGGCCCCACCCCCCGGGGGTTAAGCCCTCTCCCGATCGCAAACTGATAAAACTTCTAAAATTTGATAACTTGTTTTCGTCATTACAAGATTCTAGCTAAATTTCGTAGTAGAATGACGACGGCTATCGCGTTCTCCAGCTAAAATGAAACTAGCTCATGCGCGCACTACTTTGTATTGAGAAAATCTCTTCTCGTACTCGTTTTCGTCTCAGAATCTAAAGGTCCCTCTATTGATGCTTAGGTGTACATCGCCGAAATTGCGCCAGCAAGGCTACGTGGAGCGCTGGGTGCTTCAAACCAGTTAGCCATTACATTTGGCTTATTGCTGTCATTTGTACTGGGGGTTGTGTGTCATTGGCAATGGCTGGCTCTTATTGGTGCTATTTTGCCTGTCCTCCTTGTGATCCTAATGTTTAACATGCCAGAGACGCCACGTTGGTCCTTAGGAAAGAACAGACGAACTGAGACTTTAAATGCTCTGCTTTGGCTACGGGGTCCTGAAGTAGACATTGTGGAGGAGCTCACAGCCATCGAATCTAGTCCAGGTACACATACTTTCTTATTGCAAGGGAAGCCCGGGCGGTATTCACCAAAGTTTTATGCTTGGAGGCTCCGCCCCGAGGTCTAACTCACCTTTTTAAATACCATTTTTGGCAGAGAAGGTACCCCTTTCATATACCTTCTATTGACAAATGCAGTGGCAGATCCAGGGGAGGGGAGGGGCCGGGGGGCCCGCCCCCCCCTTTATTGTTAGACCAAACTGAGGCCCGAAGGGCCGAAAAAATTTTTTTGGGAGACAGGCACCCCTCTTCTCCCCCCCCCTCCCCCTTCCCATTATCTCTGGGTCTGGATGACCGGGCCCCTCCCTTATCTGAAGGTCTGGATTCGCCATTGCAAATGGTACCTCTTTCACATACCTAGTTTAGAACTTTGCATCCCTTTTACCTTCTGCAAATGCCCTCTCTTTAATAAAGGAATAAACGTCAAAACAAAACGTTTTCTCGACTATTTCTCAGCCATAAAATGCATCTATTATAGTCCTTTTGGGCCTTTTTACAGACCAAGATTACAGATTTCCCAACCCTTTCTTACAAGCCTGAAAAAGGGACTCCCTTTCGGTCGGAGCCTTGCTCCCCGTAAACATGGGACATGGGGTCTTATGCCTGCTGGTACACCAGAAGTAGTTAATCGATAAGCCCTATGATCGATATTAATCGATGATTAATATCGATTTCTGATATCAATCGATCGAAATCGATAAAGATAAAAAAGTTGTGACTTCGATTAATATTGATGATTTTCCGATAGAAATCGATAATGATTTTTTATCCATTCCTATCGATTGTTATCGATTTTGTTAATCGATAATAATCGATACATATTATTTTCCTGTGACTTCGATTTCTATCGATTTCCGATATCAATCGATTAATTAATCGGCAGATTAAATCGATTAATATCGATAATATCGATTGATTTCCAATATCGATTTTTATCGATTAACTACGTCTGGTGGTACAACAACCGTTTTCCAGATAATTAAAGATTATAATATACAGGCCGTTGTAGGGAGTACCCCACCCCGTGTCCACACGAAAACGCTAAAACGATAGATATAAGGCATCCTATGCGCAGTAAGGGACAAAGACACAAGAATACGGTAGAATCCCTCACGAGCATGCGTAATGCTAGCAGCATATGATATATGACATCATCGTACTTGAAAACCTCCGTTTTTGCCCGTCCACACGTAAAGGCAAAGCCAGCTTTCTCGAAAATCTTGAAAATGTTGAAAAGATGCGTTTTCGGTGACGGCTTTTACAGAATACGAGTGGACGGTAAAGCCAAACAGGATGAAAATTTTTTCAAACAAAAACAGACACGCGTCGACGAGGCTTTATCACGTTCGTCAGAACGCATCCTAATCTGGTGTTCTTGTGGCACAAAGGCAGAAATTTTCGAGCTGTCACTGGCCACTGCAAATTAGCCGCCCCTACTAATTTTATCAGGGGCATCTCGGCCGGGAAACTAAATTCCTTTCGACTTGATTTCGTTTCCGTAAGTGATGCACGCGGATCCGTAATCAATGATTATCTCTAGTCCTAATTACAATTTAGTTACATTTTTATTTTCAGAACAACAGGAGAAGCCTTCATTGCGTGAATGGTTATCGCCAGAGTTAGCAAAACCTCTCATTCTGAGCATTGGATTAATGTTCTTTCAACAATTTACTGGAATGAACGCAGTCATTTTTAACGCGGCAAGCATCTTCTCAGCAGCAGGTTTCAAAAACGGCAAACTCGTTGGCATAACAATAGGCCTGGTGCAGTTTTTGGGTACCTGTCTGGCTTGCTTAATAATTGAAAGAACAGGACGACGGATCCTTTTATTAATATCATCAATAACCTTAGCTGTTTCTCAACTTGGTCTTGGCTTGTATTTTGAAATCTACATACCTCCCCATGATGAGAGCCAGTCTTCAGACGCGCTAAGCTCCATAATTCATTCCGTAGAAGCATCAAAGATCAGCTGGCTGTCCGTGTTCTGCTTAATTTTCTTCAACCTTGGTCATGCCCTTGCCTGGGGTCCGATTCCATGGCTCGTCATGTCAGAAATGTTTCCCCTGCGTGCTCGAGGTCCAGCTGGCAGCATATCAGTTCTATCCAACTGGCTAGCCGCTTTTATCGTCACCCTTACCTTTAACAGTCTGCAGTCATCACTTACAGTTCCAGGAGCATACTGGTTCTATGCAGGATGGCTCTTACTGGGGTTTGTCTTTGTTTATATACTTATGCCCGAGACAAAAGGGAAGACGCTGGAGGAGATTGAGGCTCTGTTTGACAAAAACAAGCGTTCCTACCAACCAATCGAATGAGGGCAAGGGAGATCCCTACGGCGGGAGGCTGAACCCCTCACACGAGAGATAGTCTCCCGTACGGAAGAGACAGGGGAAGCTCGTTGTGCTGCTTAGGGGTGCAGATTGCAGGTTTTGGTCTTACTTAGGGTGTTCAGGACGGGAGGCCGATACTTTTCAGACTCTTAACGATAAACAGATCTCTCGGGCTTAGTATGAAGAAAAACTGAACAAGGCAGTCTGATACTGCGTTGTAGACAGCACATGGCATCTCAACAACTCCAGACTGTTCACAGTCCCCTTTTTTTCGTATGATTATCAAGGGCCCACTGTCACAGAGGTCATTTTGTTTTAAAATGTACCGAGGAAGCGGGCCCCGAGGTTTGTAGAGGTGGAAGAAGGGAGGCCTCTTCCCAAACCGACCCTCCTCCCCGTTAGTAGATTTCATACTCATCCTCAGGCTAGACTCGACACAGTTAAAACCAACTAACAGCCTGTAAGGGTAGGTGCTCGCTCCTGACGATCTTACAGAAAAGTAGGGGACTATGTAGCCTGAGGAAACAGCCGACATTTGACGACACTACCAATGGTTTACGCCAAATGGCGTCTGAGAAACAAGCGTAAAAATTCCATACTGATGACGCGTCACTACCCCGGATCTCGGTAGTGCCTCTGATTGGTCGTGCCGCGTGGAAAATATGATTCGACCAATCAGAAGCACTACTCAGATCTGGGTAATGAGAGTCATCAGTATGGAATTTCTGCGCTTGTTTCTCAGACGTCATTTGGCGGGAAAACCATTGGTAGCGTCGCCAAATGACGACTGTTTTCTCAAGCTAGGGACTTTGAATAGTCTACAGTCTACAGTCTACAACAACTCTTATTTGGTCGTCTATTTCAGTACGGTTTTCATTAAGGGCTCGCCCCATGCAATAAGGGAATCCGGTTTCCTGAATCCGGCCAATTTTTGCTTGTGGAATCCGGGATCCTATACTTTGCAAGGCGGAATACAGCTCAAGGAATCCGGAATCGCACTAACGATTCCAATACACAATTCAGGTTCCACTGGCAAAGACTGGAATCTTGTAGCTGGATTGGAATCCAAGCCGTGAAATCCAGGATTCAAGAATGTCTTGGATTCCCTTAATGGGGCGAAGGAGTCAAATAAATCTGATCTATGCCATACTTGCCTAATTCCTTAACTTAATTGGTTCCCTTCAGGAGTTTAATGTTCATTTTCTCACGAGCAATCCAGTCTTCTTATAGGGGAACGCCCCCACCCCTCCCCCTTTATTATTATTTTGCGCTGTCTGAAACCATAGAATTTAAACAGGTTTTAAATTATCCAAGGAAATAAAAAAGCTTATCTTGAACATAGTTCTTTTTTTTTTTCTTTCGCCTATTAGCTAGCATGAACTATAGTTGAATCTAACTTCGCTGTTTAACTGTCCAATTAATTTGACCTGTCTGTTTTCAGGCAGCTTTTCACAGTCGAACAGGTCAAATCACGCTGCATCGGCCAAATTAAGCGATGAATAAGGAATGCTTAAAACCAGACAGATTCTAGCGTTTCGTTGCTGTGCAGTAACCGTAGAGAGCGGGACAGCAGTTCATAATCAAGAATGGATTTTTCTGCCTTAAATCCACCTCCTCTTTTCTGTTTCCTCCCTCGCTCGCGCTCGCGTCCTCGAGATTTCTCCTTTCCCCCAAAAAAACCGGTGCCGGCTTCGCAGGCTATTCGTGGAGTGGCATTCTGTCTATTCTTGCTATGCTTTTGAGGCAACACGTCTTCGCGTAACCAAGTATCGTACCAGTACGATTGACGTCAATCGCACTGATATCGGTAGCCGGCGAAAACATCCGTTTCTCCCTATCTCCCATGGGGACGTTTCGCACGCGGCGAAGAGCGAGGAGAAACGGATGTTTTCGCAGGCTATGATATCGGGAAACATCTTCCAGTTTGGTTCATCTTCTCAATTCCCCATGTAAGGGAGTCGAAGACAGTATTGAATTCTCGATTGCACGCTGTGGATTCTGCGGGTCTTTCTCAGTAAAACTTCGATTCCGGATTCCAAAGGTTCGTGGACAAACTGAGTGGATTCCGGATTCCTCGAGCTGTATTACGGCTTCCTATGCCCTGGTTGATTCGGGATTCAACAAACAAAAATTTCCCGGATTCCGGATTCCACAAGCAAAATTTCCCCGGATTTCCTTAAATGAGGTGATTCTCAACGCCAACATTTTTAGCCAGTTTTGAATAATAAGCATGGCGTTTCAGCCAATCAGAAACTCAGAAATATTTTGAATGAATAAACGCACGTTACCTGAGTCACTAGGTTTTGACGTCATGGATTCCCCAGGGAGCGTTGTTGTCACGCGCTCTCTCACATGATCGTTGCTTCCTTTTATTGATTGCTGCCGAATATTTCGACACCGATAGTAGTGTAATGTGATTCATTCGAACTTCTAAGATGGCAAATTCTGAGTTAGGCGAAAGGTTTTCTAGTTCACATTCAGTTCAAGCTGACTATAAGACTGGAAAAGAAAGAATAGGGCGAGCAATACTCGCCACGTTCATAGCCGCCTTGGGCCCGCTTAGTTTTGGCTACTGTTTGGGATATTCGTCGTCGGCATTGATAGACTTAAAAAAGTCAAACGTAGATCCTGCAATTCGTTTAAATGTCAACCAGGGTTCTTGGTTTTCGGTAAGTTGTTTTGATGGGTGTTCTGATGTTTAATTTATGACTGAAATCGCTACTGATAATTTCCACCACTTCAAACAATTTTCATGGGTTTTCTGACATTGGCGCGTGAAATTTCGGCTGGAAATTTTCAGGGAACTTGACACTCGTGCTGTTTTCCACGCTTTCTCTGTGTAATTTCATAAAATGATAAAATAATCTGTGAGTTCCAGTTTGAACAGGTACGTTCATGTGGAATACAATGTTTGCCAGGCCAAATCACGATCACATGAGGGCCTTCTGATTGTTGGCTCCGTTTGCCTTTCGAAGGTGTTCCCTCAGAAATTCCGAGGTTGAGCAATACTTCTAGAATCGAAGTGATTAAAGAATCGCACGCATTTTAAGTTTGTTTTATTTGGCTTATTTTTATTCAACAGAAAAAGCATGGGTAGCTAACGTGTCGTTCGGAGAAAAACATGTCTAATTGTTTATATTAATATATGTCACTTTTGATAGGGCTATTTAAGGTTTGAGTGTATCCTGCCGTAGGAAACGTGATCACCTCTAAAGCTCGGTTTTCACTAAGCATGTGTAAGCAAGTGAAAACTGGGTCGACATAAGCACAAGCATAAGCACAAGGAGGTGGACCAATCATAGGCCACTTTAACCCAGACTTCATGCGAACATATCAAAACGCTTCGTCCGCCATCTTGTTTATCATCAGGTTGAGGAGAGCTGGTATCGAGAATTGAGTCATGTATGCCGTTCTGCGCGTGCGTGTGTCCTTAGAAAACCAGGCTTAAGGAGCAGGGGGGGGGTGGGGTTACTTGGTGCTCTATGAGGGTGATTAAGCCAGTTGTCAATGGTTTGATGATCCACTGACCTTTTTAGAAGACACTTCATGTGTAGTTTCAGAAAATATCCCCCCCCCCCCTTGTGGAAGGAAATAGTACTTCTTGGAGGAGGGGTTGTTCAAAAGGAGGCAGTTTCCAAGAGGCTAGGGGTGGCTTCTCTGGGGTTCCAAGTAAGATTGGCAAGTTATTCAAAACTGACAGCTGATCTGTTGAGCAAGCTATTAGTTGCCAGTGTTTTGCGCCTACTCTTATATCTGGCATACACCCTGAAGATGCCAGAGGAGGGATTTAAGCCAGAAGAAAAAACTGAGCCCATTTTATAGTTCCGGCATTACCATAAAAACCCAAGCAATAATTATTTTTTTGCATTGACAATTTTTTTTAGGGTCTGCTGATTGCTTTTCTTTTTTTTATGGCCTACACTATTAGTTCTTTTCAATACAGCTGTCATCGGCATGAGCTCATAGCTGTTGTTGTCAGATCAAATTTTATGTAGGCATCATCGCTGCTGGGTAAAAGAAATTGCTAGTCAAGGGTATACAATGTTATATTCCTACTGACTGCAGAAACAGTAACCCACGAAATTAAAATTCATGTTTTTCTTTTTTTGTTTCATTTTCACTTCATTCCAGACAATATTACATTATTTTTGGGAATAAATGTGTAGCTATTGAGGGGTGTTAGGCTAAAGCTACTGTAAATGACCCAATAAACACCTACTTCCAAATAAACTCCTCTCATATAATAAATGCCCTGTTAAAATTGTATTAGACTCCTCTCTCTAATAAATGCCAGGCCCTATGAGAATTACTTCAAAATACCAGAGTATAAATTAGCAAAAAGGAGCAAAATCATTCGATTAATTTGGTGTTTGTTTGCTTGATTAACAAAGCTTAATGTATTTGATTTTGTTCAATATCAAGTTCAAAGGAAGGATAGACTAACAATGGCAACACAATAAGCCTGAGCAAGGAGTTTGACATCAATGTTGGGATTTGAAAGAGCTAGATGGCCTGGATGTATCAATTCAATGATGGAGTGGATATTCTGCTTTTTTGAAACTCTCGTCAGATTTTTATGCCAAAAGCGTATTAGCCTGCGCGCAGACGAAATTAAACTCTGGTTAACTCCGTCTGCGAAACAGCGCCAAAATCCTTGTTCTGGACTTCCAGCTGTGTACCCAGATTTGAGTACGCGTCACGATTGGCCAGTTAAAAAAAGCCTTTGTTTTGTTTGTCGTGATCGCCAATCAGGGTGAAGGGGAATTCGAAACGCACTTCCGGTAATTCGTTGAGTCTGTTGGGGGTCAAGAACAAGGATCTCTGCGCTGCTTTGCAGACGGTACTAATCGGAGTTTAGTTATCTTCTGCACCCAGGTTAAAAGCATATTAGTTTGAGTTATGAGAGTAAACACCTCGGGCTATCTCTCAAACGCCCCTGCTTGGACTCTAAAATTAAATAGATGCCCCGGGCTAAGGTCATTTATGGTATTAATTTTTTTGTTACTGTATGTTGATCAGGAAAAAGGATATAAAAAATGTTTCTCTCCCTAAGGTATTTTCAAATTTTCCTTGCAGTCATTGGTCACTCTAGGTGCGATTTTTGGTGGTCCTATCAGTGGATGGGCAATTGACAAGTTTGGTCGCAAGGGTTCCATACTACTCTGTGCAGTTCCTTTTGAGTTGGGGTGGCTTCTCATCAGCAATGCGCAGAATCGTGCCATGCTTTATGCTGGTCGCATTATAACAGGCTTGGCCTGTGGAATGATTTCACTGGCTGTTCCGGTAAGTTGCTCTCTGGGGAGGCATGGGGTACTCTGGATTTCAAGTGACAGGGATGATCAAATGGGGGCAAAAATCAAAGCCCAAAAAAATCCCTAGGGCTTCAAACAAAATCCCCAAAAATCCCATGCCCAATTTCCCAGCCATAAAAATTTCCAGAAAACATTAAATGATATATATCTATCATGAATCTTCAGATTGTTATGAGTGCCCAAAAACATCTCTACCTAAATCAAGTTGCCCCAAAAATACTTGCTAAAATTTTCCTACTCAAAAAAATCCCAAAATCGAAAATTTCAAAGCCAAAAAAGTCCTTCGATCATCCCTGTCACTTGAAATCCAGAGTACCCCCCTGCTCCCCACCCCTGGTGGTTGTTCTACAATGAGTCCGAGAGTCTCTCAGCTTTGCATAATACCATAATCTGACAGTTATCAGATTTTGACCACCTTTGAAATGGCATCTTGTAGAAGTGAGCATCCCCACCCCCCTCCAGCTGGGTGGGTAGTGTTCAATTCAATTTTTTCCCACAATAATTGTAAACATTTACCATAATCAATTATTGTGCCACTTACAGACAATACACTGTAATTTATTAATGATTGGCACACCACTAATGTAAGGCTTTCATTGGAAAGGTGCACCCTATACCAGTGTTCTTAGGATAATTATCTTTTGAGCAATAAAAACCAAAAAGGTAGAACTTAGGTTGATTATTATTTTAGGACTTTTTGATTTTAAGTCTGCAATGAGTTCTAACTTGAATTAATTTTTTTATCTGTTTTGATGTCCAGGTGTACATTGCAGAGATTTCGCCGGCAAGGTTACGTGGTATGCTGGGTTCTGTTAACCAGTTAGCAGTCACCGCAGGCCTTCTATTATCATATGTAATGGGTGTTGTGTGTCACTGGAAATGGCTGGCTCTCATTGGTGCTATTTCTCCTGCCCTGCTTGTTGTTCTTATGTTTGCCATGCCAGAGACGCCGCGCTGGACCTTAGGGAAGAACAGACGGAGTGATGCACTAAAATTTCTGCTTTGGTTACGGGGCCCTGATGTTGACATTGAAGAAGAATGCTTTGCAATTGAAGCTACTTTAGGTAGATCAAAATAATTATTATTTTTTGTTTTCATTTAAGGAGGGCAACCCCAATTTATGACAGATAATTGAATTGTTTTCTTCTCTTTTATTTTTTTACACCCAGCAGTAAGCTGTTTTATAATCATCATCATTGTCATAATATTGAAGTAAACAGCACAATTTTTTCAACCCTTGCTTTTGTATTATTTTGATAATTCAACAGCAGATATTTTTTATTATTTGTGGTAATCATTTTAAATATTTCTTTGTTTCAGAGTGGCTATAATGTGCCAGTTGTTGTTTCTTTTATTCCCTGGAAGTTTTACATCTTTCATCCAATTACTTTGATGGTTGTTAGAATTAATTCTTGTTTGCTTTGCAGATTGTCAGGAGAAACCTTCATTACGTGAATGGTTGTCACCGGTTATAGCAAAACCTTTGATCATCAGCGTTGGATTAATGTTCTTCCAACAGTTCTGTGGAGTTAATGCAGTTCTCTTCAATGCTGCGAGCATTTTTAGTCAGGCTGGTTTTTCAGATGGCAAACTCGTTTCCATTGCCATTGGCTTGGTCCAGTTCATTGGCACTGGTTTAGCATGTTTGGTCATGGACAGAGCAGGACGACGAATCCTGCTGTTAATCATGGCAATAGGCATGTCAGTCACTCTTGTGGGCCTTGGCTTTTATTTTGAAGTCTATATTCCAAAAAATGAAACCTCCTCGGCTGATGCCGTGTCTCTGGTTGGTTCCATAAACCACTCTGTAGAAGCATCAAAGATCAGCTGGCTGTCCATATTGTGTTTAGTTTTGTTTAACCTCTTTTTTGCCCTAGCTTGGGGTCCAGTACCGTGGCTTGTCATGTCAGAAATATTTCCCCTTCGAGCTCGTGGCCCAGCTACAAGTATTGCAACCATGGCCAACTGGCTGCTTGCTTTTTTGGTCACCAAAATGTATGATCCCATGGTTGCATTTCTGACCATCCAAGGTACATATTGGTTTTTTGGAGGGTGCTCTTTCGTAGGATTTATATTTGTGTACTTCCTCATGCCAGAGACAAAAGGAAAAACATTAGAAGAGATTGAAGCTTTGTTTGACAAAGGCAGACATTCTTATCAGCGGATTGATTGAAGTGATCAGGAAGACTTTAATATTGCTTTCCAGATCTCCCATGCACAAAATTGCTTAATTTAAGGAAACTTTCTCTCATATTTTCTTGTCAATTTGTTGTACAAAAGCAAACATTCAGTAAACTCTTATCAGGGGATTAACTGTGATGACCTGTGCACTTTGCAAAGTGCTGTTTACTTGCAGACAAAATTGCCTAGGAATAATTATTATTTATTTCTTGTATTGTTTGTCAAATTATATTATTGCGGACGCATATAATTAAGGTGAAAAGAACAGTAGTCTGAAACAAAATTGCCTAGTAGGAATATTTATTTCTTGTATTGTTTGTCAAATTATTACTGAACAACGCATCTTCAGTGGAAAAAAGAGGTGGGAATCTTCATCGCAGTGGTCAAAACTTGAAGACTTAATCACTCCATAAGACTCAAAAGTTGGAACTGTACAAGTTGTATCACAATAAGGGTTGCTTTTTATTATCAAATGTACAACAAGACAGGATTGTCGCTAAGTTTTCAAGTTGCTGGGTAAATACAACAAGTAGGCATTCTATTATTCCTCTATTTTCCAATGAAAGTAACCGGGGGCCACATTCATAGTATCCCTGGACCTGTCGAGCTCTTAATGACAGCCCTGTGAGTTTTGCTTTACCATGTGGTTTTTTGACTTGATGAGACATGAATTACTTGTTTGTTTGAGATCTGTTCATGTTAGGATTAATTATTGGTAATGAAAATTGGAGCTTATAACTAAAATGTTAAGAATAATAACTTAAAAAACTCACTGAATATAAAAACTATTTTTTATATCTCATTGTTTCACTATTTTCTTAGTGTTTTTTTTTAAAGGTGGAGCGTTTTAATGCCCTCCCACTCTCCACCCTGTAAATTACATACTTTGTACGCAAACAAATTCTATGTAAACCCATAAAGAAACTTGTGAAAAAATGACTGAAATAGAGAGTGCATATGACTAAAGCATAACAAAAAACCAGTGGACCAGCGTAAATTATGAAAACACATCGTAATAATTACGTTTTCATTCAGATTTTAGGACATATTTTTTCTTTACAAAGTTATTCAGACTAGTAGATTCTTCTTTGTAGAAAAACTAGCCGACTTCTCTAAGCAGCGCAGCAAACATTGTTTGTCAGCCATCGGTGCTTATTGAAACCTCTAATGCTTTTAGAGTGAGTTAGAGTGGCCATAATTTGGAAAAATGTATGAAAATAATAAGCTAATATCAATTATGTAATTTTGAAACCAAGAAAAGGAATTACTGTATAACTATTAAGGAAATTATTTATTATAATAGACTTCCCCCAAAAAAAGAATTCCAAACTTCATTTATTTTTGTAAATGTTAAAAAAGATATTATCATGAAGATACCGCTGAAGAGAATTCATTTCAACTTGCATACAGGGTCTAGACCTACAGAATAGAGTCAAAAGCTAACACCACCTAGTTAAAAATAACACTCCATCATTCACTTTGGAAGAAGAAAGAAGAAGACTTCCCAAGGACGAGTTTGCATATTTTCTTATGAGAACTGACATCACCAAATGGCAATAGCTGTATATATTCATTACAATAAATTAGTATCATGATTGTTTTTATAAAATAATTAAGTTTATTTAGCATTGACAACTTGTTCCAGCTCTTTTTCCACTTGACGCAAGAACCGGTTGTTCATAAAAAGCAGCTGAAAAGGAGTAAACAAGAGCAATTAAAAAAAACTTCTAAACTACTCAGTTCTTAAATATTTTAACAGAAAAAAAATGTCTCTAGGCCTGCACATAAACACTCCCAATGAAAGTATCAACCTCAACAATGACTAAATGCATGAGAGTTACCAACGATAAATAAAAGGATAGCAACTGAAACTATAGCCCGAGAAAACAGCCGACATTTGGCGACGCTACAACTGGTTTCCCGGCCAAATGATGTCTGAGAAATGAGCACAGAAATTCCATACTGATGACGTGTCACTACCCAGATCTGGGTAGTGCTTCTGATTGGTTGAATCAAATTTCCCACATGACACGACCAGTCAGAGTCACTACCCAGGTCTAGGTAGTGAAACATCATCAGTGTGGTATTTCTGCACTCATCTCGCAGACGTCATTTGGTGAGGAAACCAGTGGTAGCGTTGCCAAATGTCAGCTGTTTTCTCAGGCTACTGAAACTTGCATTTTGTCCATGGTTAGCTAATCAGGGATAAGGTCAGGATTTTGATGCCTTAGCCTGGTACCAGGCTCAGAAGTGAGAAAAAAAAATTGGCAAGCAAAGGAAGCTGAGCAGGAGTCTGTGGAGGGGAAAGAGGGCTGACCTTTTCTTTCACTATAATTATTAATAATAATATATTTTAACAAACAAGCTTGTTCAGTCCAGATTTTTAGAAATTCAGACCTCATTCTTTCCCTGTGTTTTATGAACTCTTTGACAATCTTAGTGATGAATAATGTATCAAATACTGTGATATCTCTCATCAGTAAAATCCAACTAGTGGTCTGTTATCAATGCTGCGTTCTGATTGGTTGAGCTACTACTAGGCTATATGTTATAGCCAACTAGTAACGAAAAGCGCGGGCTTTTTGGCGGCAAAAAAGGATTAAAGTCTAGCTTTTAACCAGCTAAATTTTTTTTATTCTCGATATTTTTGACCAACTGGTTGGATTTTACTAAAACAACATTATTCCTCTCGCCCTCATGGCCTCTGAGTCAATAGCCCATGAGGCCGAAGGCCGAATGGGCTATTGACCCAGAGCCCACTCCAGCTTGAGGAATAATTGTTAATTAACCCCTCCCCCAGCACAACCACCGGTACCACTTCTCTTTCCCCCTTTCTTCTTATATTAAACAGTTTTCAAGCCCCCTCCTGTAATGAGCATTAATTTTATATTCCCTCTAATAGTCACGTTTTATGACTGTTACACTTAACAGTCAGGAAACATGAACAAAACTCTTGTTGAAACAAATGAGTGACTGATTAATGAGTGTGTAACTGTTACAATATATGAAACAAAGTGAAATACAGAGAGTTGGTGCTCCAGTTTTTAAAATGTCGCCCCTTCTAACCCTCTAACCATAATTATAATACCCCGTCTTCAATAAATCCTCCCCACAACTAGCCCGTGCCACAGACAAAACTAAAGTTTGGTTAAGTCTGTCGGCAAAACAGTGCCAAAATCCATGTCTAGGCCCCCACCTGTGTACCAGGATTTGAGTGTGCCCCATGATTGGCCTGTTAAAAAAAGCCATTACCTATTTACCAATCAGGTTTTGTTTTTTGAAACACATTTCTGGTAATTCGTTGACTCAGTTGGGGGCCCAGAACAAGGATTTCGGCATTGCTTCATTGTCGTTACTTGCCAGGGTTAAATTACATCTGCGATCACACAACTGATTAGAAAAATAAGCCCCATGTACCCCTCCCCTAGCTAGGGGCTCATAACAGAGATAACAGTGTATACCTGGCCTTCTGGAAGAAGCTGATGCGTTACAGCAGTGACCTTGTCTGCCTTAAGAATGGCCTACAAATTAGAATCAGTACTGTTAATGTCAGTCACATCTAAGCATGGAAAAGAGACAAAAAAACATTTTCTTGGGAGTTTTACAACTCCAGCAATTCTTCTTAACATCTAAAAATTCTTGTGATGAATATTTTGTTGAGTGAAAACCAATCAAGCCGACAAACAGCCACCTACTTTGTATGGGATCATTTGCCTAGAGCGCCACCCCAAACTTCTCATTTTTGGCAGCAAAACATGTCGTGTTTGCACCCAATTAGAACCTGTATTTTTGCCACGTGTACAGACTTAGATGCAACCAATGGTACTACAAAAGACAAAATTGTAATACTGAACTGCATACCCTTTTATCTTGACTAAAATCCTGAATACAGAGGCTTCAAATGCTATTGAGGACACCGTGTGTTCCTACTTTTCACATAAATGGCTAATTTTTCCGCAATGATTGACTGAATATTTTCCTAACTAATTATATCGCAGTGCTTTAACATTTTCAATCATTTGTTCAATAAAAATTAATATAATCAATGATAGGCACCCCCACTAGTTGTAATAATGTGTAGTTCCAGAAAAAATCCAGACCCCCACCACGGAGGGAATTTCACTTAGGACCCCCCCACCTCCCTGGATTTTCCATTTTTGCGGGGAACTGATGACCCCCCACCCCTTAGGAATTTCCACAAGTGTGACAAAGACCCCCCAACCCCTCTGGAAAAGTTCATTTTCACGAAGAAAGACTATTAAAGTAGATGAATGGGGCAACTTATGGTTAGTACCCAACGGTTTCCATTAGAAGCTTGTATGCTTCTGTTTCCATTTATTTGAGTGATCTCGCAACATTAAAACACACTACACCACCACAAAGTAACCTGATCTGTAATTTTTGCTCATCTCTTACTTTAAATGAAACAGAGAAAGTTAATAAGTCGGTTATATTTGTGAATTTACCTTAATCAGGGCAAGCTTAGATTTGTTATTCGTCTCATGGGCGTAATGTTGATAGAATTAACGCCATTTCGTGCAGGAATGCAGAACAAGTCAAAGTTACAACCACAAAATTAATGCAAAACAAAGAGGAGAATAAAAACTCTGAATTCTGAAATGATAACAATGAATACCCCTGCATCTTGAAGATACTTGAAGGGAAACCATGTTCAATTTACTGTTTTTCGATCGACTGATGCGATGTGACGCGCGATGGCCCTTTAAATGTTTGGTGAAATCAACACCATTTTAGCGAGAATTCGATCAAGAACATGCCACACATTCAACCAAAAAATTAAGGAAAAATGAAAAGGAGAATAAAAACTCTTCATTCTAAAATGGTTACAATGTATAGCTTGTGCTTCGTGAGGCAAAATTGCCACTCTTCTCGTCTATCGATCGACTGACGCAACGCGTTGTGTTGCGTGATGTGTTGCATGCGTTGATGTTTTGGGGAAGACTGGTAACGAGTAATGGCGGCCGAATATATGAGCATGCGATAAAACGAGTTGTAGTCGGTCTAATTCCTTTGAAATTACATCCAAAACGCTTTTGGAAGAAAGGAAACCTGGTTAAGATTAAAAGGAACAATCTTAAGTGATATATTTCAAGTTATTTATTTCCTAAAAATGATCTACCAGGTCAGTAAGAAGCAATGTTCGATCTCAGGTCGAAAACAAAATGATATTGCCCCCCTGGAAACTGATTTTATGGTCCAACCCCCCTCCCTTCTGGAATTTCCTGGGCCTCTGACCCCCCCACCCCTCTGGAATTTCCAATTCCCTCCGTGGTGGGGGTCTGGATATTTTCTGGAACCACACAATCAAAGATTTTAAGCATGACACAGTCAACAGTATTACCCAAATCCATTGGGGAATGGATTACTGACTACTTAATACAGCTTGATGAAAAACCTTTTCAAGAGTAACGGTATTAAAAAATTTTTGAAAAATGAAGCTGTTGAAAGAGTGAAATATGTGTCCCACAACATTGTCCTCAGACTGTTTCTACCCCTTCAAGTGCCAAAAGGAGGGAAGTAAAAAAAATGATCAACTTAGGTTTCTGGGAAACTGCCCACCTACCCCTCCCCTATGCCATCATTATCACTTATTACTCACTTAGGGCAAAATGTTGGCTTAGGGGAGGGGTAGGTGGGTAGTTTCCCCAGAAACCTAAAGAATCTGTTGCAGTAGCATATGGTACATTTCGTCAAAGTGACCATTTAATAGAGGTGATTAACAGTCAGACTAAAAAAATAACTTGTTGGGACCTCTGAAAACTAAGGTGGCCACAAGCACTTAATAGAGGTGACATTTAGGTCAACTGATAGTAATCAAGGGAAACTATTTCCAGGACTTTGGTAAGGGACCACTTAATAAAGGGTGACCACTAATATGTATTCATAGATGTCCACCTATTATTAAAATACAGGTGGTTTGACTGTATTATTATGATAATCATGATATTGCAAGTTGAAAGTCACTTAAGACATAGCCAGCTGTTCCAGGCATTCAGATATAGTCATTTTTCCCCAGCTGGTTTTTCCCATGTACGATTTAACTCACTCCCCAACATCTGAATGCCTGGAGCGGGGTACTTGAGGCATATATTACGTGTAAAACTTGGACAAAAAACAATGTACCTCTGAAGGCTGTAGAAGTATTTGGCAATATTCTTGAAGATGTCTGATTATGAGATTCAGAACATTCTCTGCAACAAGGCGGTTTTCATCCTTTTCACAAATTAAAGTGAATCCACAGCTGGAAAAGACAGGTAAAATAATTGAGCTGACCACCATATGCATTAATATTAATATTCACTCCCTATAAAACAACATATTAAAAAAATATATTAATTATGAAGTTAAATGAAATTTAACACAGTTAGCAACATTAACCCTTTAAGTCCCAATGGTGACTAACATCAATTTTCTCCCAAGAATATCCATACATTGTCAAAAGAAAAGGTTATGAGAATTAATAAAATGATCACCAAAGTGAAAATTCCATGATCTTTTTTTCAAATTCTCTCAACTAATTCTTAATGGAAATGTATAGAGATCAGTTTGGAGAATTTGTAAGTGGATATCAGGGCTTAAAGGGTTAAGGAGCTCTGTCACATGTCAGTCAGCTGTCAGCGTGGTGGCTCAGCCCCATGTGCTTAGTACAGCGTTTCTTGGTGGCCACTCTAGCTCTTTGTTTACTACTAAGCCTTTGGATCATTCATTCATTTACCCACCCATCCCTCCCACTTTTTATTTTTCCACGGAAGAATAAATTAGTGTGACAGGTAGTGGTCCCATCAGTGTGGGAACTAATCACTCAAGCAGGACAAAAAACTTTCTTTTCACTTTATGTGTCCATCGGACAATTACTCTGCAGATTCTGGTTGTCTGAACATAAAATCCACTTGTTGTAAGAAAAAGTGAGTGTAATTCTTTACAGTCATGCATCGTCATCAGACTCCATAACAGGAAGGGGTGGCAGTTCTGTCTCCACCTACTTATCATTAGCTTTTTGGGCAAAGCTTGAGTTTGTTGAAGTTGCCGTTGAGGTGATGAAGTGTTTCTACTCAAGATTACGCCATTTTTTACTCACTACCAAAACAACTCGACCTCATCCCCTCTTCTTCTAGGTTAACAGTTCAATAATCTGGCAATTTGCTGCATGATTGACATCATAATTTTTTCACAAGTCACAAAATTCTTCTTTCTTGGTTGACAATTAATAGCTGGTTATGATGAACTATGCGTAGGATTTTAATAGCCAATCAGAAACAGAGAAATATTTTGAATGAATAATAATGCTTCTTTTCTAACATAATGTGGCAACTTTTCTTAATTTCCTAATACTTTTCAAAGGCATGTTCGATCACAACGTAGAAGGCATGTGACTAAGGAACGTTAAATGCATAATTACCTCCCCTCTCTAGCTCCCCAGCCACCCCAACCAACCCCCTTGACCAAGGCAAACACTACTAGGAGTATGTATGTGAAACACCATGTGAAAAACGTGTGAAAAATGTCCTGTTTTCACACTCATTTCACATGTTTTTCACACGTTTTTCACACACTTTTCACATGCATTTCACACACATATTTCACATGCATGTGAAATTTTGCATAGTGAAATATATGTGAAAAGGGTGTGAAACGATGTCAACCCTTTCACACACATTTTCACATACACTTCACATGGGGTTTCACACAGGCTTTCACATGTCAATCCTCATTTAAATTCACACATATTTTCATACACTTCACACGGGGTTTCACATAGGCTTTCACATGTACTTAATCCTCACTGAATGGCAAAACATCCAGTAATTCACACATTATTTCACATACACTTCACATGGGGTTTCACATGAGCTTTCACATGTAAAGCCTCAGTGATCCGAGATCATCAATGGCTATGGAATTTCACTACCCTGCGAGCGTAAACAAACCAACTACGCAACAGACAATTACAACAAAACTTTTTAATATCATGCTCACTTTTTATACCTTTAATTTCTACATCAATAAAATAACTAATAATATACTAATTTTTGGTTAGAAATATTTCTTATAAATTGTAATAATTATGATAGTAAATGACATGATGGCCAATTTGCAATTTCCACTTATTAAGGCATACAAATGTGTATACTAAGTTACAGAAAAGCAATCTAGCACTCAATGTCAGTGAAAAGACAAAGTAAATAAGCATCTTTGAATAATACAAGCATGTATATGGAAAAAAATAATGCTAAATGACTGCTTCTTTACAAGTCGCTGAACAGCTTTCTGAACTGAAGGTCCACACATCAGACTAGATAGAGGTGCCTTTTATTTTTGACCTTATTGCAGACGTATGAATATTATGAATCGAAGCTCAAATAAACAAACCTACTCAAATTTTATAGGGTTAGTTCAACTCTGAAGTCATTATAAATTAACTGGAAACTTAATTGCTTCCAACTTGTAGTAGACATTGCATGCATATCGGAAACTTATGCTATTTCTTCTCCTATTTTATTTAACATTGGTCTTGACAAGTCTGCCACAGCCTACTAGCGCCAGAACATAAAATTTTTAGAGTATTCCATTGACGATTTGCAACAAAGAGTACAGTTTTTTCTGCAGTAAACAAAAAGGAATCAATCAATGGCATATCTGTACATGCATCTTAAATTTAAGATGTATCTTTGAAGGTTTAAGCTTCGTAAAGTTATTGGAAAACCAAAGTAAGCTTATGTTAACGAACCACGATAACAAGAACATACCTTTGTGCAATAATCCAGCTGAGTTGCTGACTTGGAAACATGCTTTATGTGAAGAAGTTCGCAATTGATCACTTTCTCTCGAAAATAACACGCGTATTATTGAAAGACAGTCTTTCTATTTATCCGAAAGTAACGAAACTATTCTGTTTGCAAAGCTGTGTTGCTTGTGAAGTCCGCGTAAATTTGAACTTCACTTTACAATTTTCTATTGGTTCAAAAGCCCCACGTGACATCGTAAATCAAATCGCGCATGTGCTGAAATCACGGGGAAGCCTGGGAAACAACAAACATGGCGGCTAATCTTGCGATGGAGAAAGTGCACTCGTTTGAGTCGAAAAAGCGGTTATTTTCAGCATTGATTAGAATATTCCAGCGCATTTGAAGTGTTAGAAGCAAGAAAAAAACTTAACATTGTTCTTTCAAGTTGGGAAACCGTTGAAAAATGCTGGACTTCACTACATGAATCAAAGTTGTACGTGTTGTGGACGTTGTTCATGTTGGACAAGCTCAGGTACCGAAAGTTGATTGAACCAAAGACAACTTAAGCAAATCAAGAGCATGCCAGTTATTTGCTTCAAGGAATCATTCGTTGAACGAACGGTATCAAAAGAAAACTCAAAAAGCATGCAAAGCAATGCAAGGAACTGTTCGCATGTTCAAGTGGACTTTCAACTTTACAACGAGGAACGTTACAGTAAGAAACGAAAGATTCATAAAGTGTATAAGTTACATATGTCGTATATATTAGCAAAGTTAGTTTTTTGATGGAGTAATAAAATTAAGTCCGTTTTGTCCTCAATGAAGATCTGTTGAAAGAATGGTTTAATTCTCAGGATTTAGCCCTCCCCACTTAACAAAAATCTTGGTACACATCTTTCTGACTGGAAACCAAGTGGTAAGATACACAACCCACATATTTAGATGAGACAGTTGATAAAATACATAAATTTATGTAGCATATTCTAGCAAACAATGAAGACAATAATTATATTTGTAAAGGTGCACATTTGGATTGGATACTCGATAGATTTTAATCAAGCCAAATCTAATGAAGAATGTACAGTGCATTCAGGGGTTTCAAAATGTTTTGAAGTAGGCGCCAACTCTGGAAAAGCAGGCGGCTGTGACAATCGAGATTGTTTGTCACGAGCTAATTGTTATGACCAGCGTAGCCGGTGATATACAGTTGAGTAGCCGGCAGAACTCTGGTCGCTGGCTTGTGTATTTACTAATAATCAATACAGTTATTGACTGAGAGATCTGGTTGCAAGCTAGATCATGAAAAGAGCTTTGAACATTAATTCCAGTCCGCTGCTTTACAAGAGGGCTCCTCTGGGGCTTGGCACTTTGGTATATTGGGGTTCGCCTGTAATGGTGATGATGATGATGATTTGTAACAGCATGTTTGTTGTGATCACTTGCCTTAAAGGTCTGACGCATTATAGTATGGCGAATTTTCTCGGTTAACAACTTATCAAATCTTATTCTTCAAAAATTCATGACCCTCATAGTCAACTTAGTTTAATATTTATCAGCCATGAGCCATAGAATGCTAGATGTGGTGTGTGTCTTGGATTATCAATGGCCCATGAGACCAAGGAGCACCTTTCATAGAAAATTCATGGCCAGAAATAAAGTCATGAAATTTAATTTTTTAGTTTTCATGGGTCATGAAATGACTTTCATGGGGTATTCACTAGAAATTCATGGCATTTTCATAAAAATATGGTTCATAGTGGTTGTATTTAAAAAGCCCTGAAAAAAATTCACATGCTCACTCTGACATGCCTAAAAGTGTTCACATGCATGTGAAAAATTTCACATACATAGCATCTATTATGCATGTGAAATTTGAAATTCACATGTATGACAAAATTGTTTCACATGCCTGAAAAGATTTCACATGTAATAAACTGCATGGGAAAAAAGTTCACACATATGACAAAAATTTTTCACATGTATTACAAAGTTTCACACGCATGTCAAAAAGTTCACATGCATGTGAAATGCTGATGTGGTGAACTTGTATTTTTGCCAACATTGATTTCACATGGTTCCTTTTTTTCACACACTTTTCACACCCTTTTCACATGGTTTTCACACACATAGCCCTAGTAGTGAAAGCAAGATATCAAGGTATTCTGGGAAAGTAACAAATCCTGCACAGCTTGTAAATCCCGCAGATACTACGCTTTCAAAGAGAATTAAACCGCTTGTACTTACTTTGCCAGTCCCTTCCATAGAGCTATTCTTTCCACTGCAAATGGAGTTCCTTGTGAGAGTCTACTTACGGAGAGAATATAATACTGAATAAAAAATAGTCTAACAATGATTCATTCAAAATACTTCTCCATTTTTGATTGGCTAAAAATCTCTGAGCTACTTCTATATATTCATTATTATTATTATTATTATTATTATTACCTCGCAGTATAAAACTTTATAATGCTGTCCACTTTATGAGTAGTATAGGGCACATAAATGTAACCAACACTACTTGAGAAGCTATACTTAGAAGTCAAAAAAGGTTGGTACAAAACCTAATATGATCCTAATATATTATTAATCCTAATATAATATGATCCTTATTATAATAAAAATAAAAAACTTTATTCATAGATTTAAAAAAATAGACTATTAATACAGATTCAAGAATATGAAATATTAAAATATATACCCTATGTACATTCTTCTTGTGTACGAAAGAGAATTGTCGTAAAATGACTATCCAAAGACTACTAATAACGATCCTTATTATTATTATTATTATTATTATTATTATCATTATTATTATTATTCCCTCTTCTGTCACAGTCTTTGCTGGTGTTCTTTTTGTGAATCAGTCTGGTACAAACCATGCACCTGGAGAATCAGTTACTCAAGTCAGTGTAATTCTGTTCATACTCTAAGAACCTTCCTGAGGATTCGTGCAGATCCCAGCATGTAGATCTTCTGGGTCTCTGTCACAGTAGCTATCTGATACTTTCTTGATGTTTTCTATCATCCCCTTCTTTACTGAACCAAGTGCACTAACAACAATTACCACAGGGATCACTTTGATTTTCATCCGCCACATTCTCTGTATTTCTAGCTCTGGGTCTTTGTACTCGCTTTTCTTTTCAATTGATGTGCCAAAATGTTTCTGTTGCTTCTTTCTTTGGTGGTTTTTCAACTGGCATCTGTTCTTTGCTAAGGCTATTATTATTATTATTACTGTTATTACTATTATTATTTTTATTATTATTATTATTATTGACGATCTACATCAACCGTGCGATTGAGGACCAGTGACAGCAAAATATTATGAATGGCATCAAAGATAATATCTTTGTAATGCACGGCTACTCGTACAGACTGCAGGTAGAGTCGTCGTCAGGCCCGGGGAGACCAAGGTACGTCATCCCTTCAGAACAGCTATCATGTTTGCGGAGAGAGTTCAACAGCTGGACGCAGATCATTTTGTTGCCGACTAGAAATAAGAGAAAATGCTTACCTGAAAAAACCTGTTTTCAAATTCGACAGAAGTCTGTGAAAAATACAAACTAAACATAAGTCGATCATCATATTGGACAGGAGATTTAGAGAACCAGCTATATAACTTTTAAAGGGGACGGGGCCAGATTGTTACTAAGAAGTGTATAATGGATAACCAGAAAACCTCTGTATTTTCTTAACAACATTTAGGGGTCTTGAATAGCTCTATCTTGTTCAATATTGACCTGATTAACACCAAACTTGAGTATTTTGGAAAGTTTGCTGTCATGTTCTTTCTGACTATGTGGGTCTTATGTTCATAATCCCAATAATACAATAATTATTGTCACATATAATTGGTAAATTTAATATATACACATTGTACATGTACAAGTTTCCTAAAGCATTAATTAAAATTTTCAATGACAAATTCACAGACAGTCAGATCCACAACATTCTGTGTAATGTCCATCACACAACATTAATATTTTGAAACTAAACCAGATAGGACAGACTTAAAGAAAGTTTTCCCTATTACAGTGGTTTAATACATAAATAAAAACTTTGAGCATCTGCCAATGAAAAAACTACACAGTCCTATAAATTTGACTATAAGCCTTGTTTTGGTTGTAATATTCACACTTAATGCCCCTTTCAATCAAAATAATAAGCTGTAGCTAAAATGATTTCTCTAGAGTAGGTAAATCTTTTTTTTACTCATGCTCAAATGGCTATACAACACTTAAAGTGGAATATGGTTGACCTGCAGTAGAAAATAACCCTCTGCATAATCTGTGCAGGGCAGGAATTCAAAGGTTAATATTTTTGCGTAAGTGTATAAATATTAGAATAGACGTTATTTTACATTCATGATACCCGTCATCTAGCTTGGCTTAGAACACACTTAAGGAGTGATGGTAAAAAAGCAATGTCAGGACAAGGTTTCTCAGGGGGTCAGTAAGTGAGAAAATCTGTTGATAAAAGAGCCATAAACCATATAGGTATGTGCTGCCCCAAAGGGTATGGTTTTTGGGCCTTTTTGGCAGAAAAATGGGTACATACACTTTGCCCATTTTGGTCTGGAATTGAGTATGGTTTTCGAGGGAACTACGGGAATGTATGCTTGTAGAACATTGTTTCAAAAATGAATAAGAATGAAATAGAAAATAGTATACAAATACAAAACGCATTTGAAGAATTTTTTGTTTGTACTCTAATCTAAGTAATGATGACACAATTTCTGCCTAAAGGCCGGGGCTGAAAACGGGTGTGGAAAATGACATTTTTTGGTCTGAAAAAGGGTCAGGATTTGGAGAGCTGGGTGTCACACCCTCACTAAGAATTCCCACCATAGAGCCTCCAATAGGTCAGTGGTTAGAGTGTCTGAACTAGAACTCAGAGGGTTGTGAGTTCAATTCTACCCTGGAGCTCGGAATCTTTTCTGAGCTTTCTGGTATCAGAATTCTCCTTCTTCCAAAATATACGTGACAATTTATTATTATTATTATTATTATTCAGGGTTTTCATTAGGCATCGGAGATTAGAGAATTCTCCATTTGCTATAGTACACATGATTCTCCAGCAAAGGTCTGGTAGCCTTCTATTCAGACGTAGAGCCTCTTTCAAAAAGTTCTCCTGTAACATTACACCTTTCTCCTGCTACTAGAATTCTTAATGAAAACCCTGATTATTATTATTATTATTATTACATACTCATCTGTTGAAGCTAACCCAGACAGATCTTCATGGCTGGTACCACCCAACGCCACATACCGAAATGAATACTCAGACTGTACACGCTGTGCAACTTGTAACAACTGCTCTTTTCTGCTTTCACGTTCATCCTGAATGATAACTCCATCAGGCTGAAATGAAACAGTTACAATATTAACAAGACCTCCCTTTAATTTACCCAGTGTCCATTTTTATCCATACCTATGTATACTGCTCTCTACAAGTTGCCCATGGCAGTACCTGTACCACCATCCCTTAACGCAAAAAATTACCTGAACTAGTACTAATGAATCCATTCAACTTTGACAGGTGATTTTTATGTTAAGTCAATCAACCCAGATTATCTATCCCAGACAGAGGGCAAAATTTGTCTCCTATGTACATGTATATCTCATTTTAAAAAAGACCTGGACTTTTTCTGTCAACAGACTAAGATTTCATGCTCAAACTTTCCCAAAACGGCAGAAAGTAGTTTTCCAAAACACATTACAGTTTTTAGCATCACATTTTGGCTCTCTGACAACTCCCTGCCAAGGAAACGTTTTGTCCTGGTGAATTCAAAAAAGGAGACATCATCGTTTTAAACAAACATTGTTAATGTTATTCAAATTTTTAACAAGTGAAACAAAAGAATCTTTTGTTACAAGGACCAATTGGCTTCTGCAGACCATCCGAACTGTTTGAGGCATCAATGGGTGACACCAGAGTGTGTGTATCGGTCAGTATAAAACATGGACTGCGGACTGCGGAATAAGGACTGGGTATAAAATACGGACTAAGCATAAAACGCAGACTAGAAAATACGGACTGGGTATAAAACACAGACAAGGCATAAAACGCAGACTGTGGACTGTGGACTGGGTATAAAATACGGACTACGGACTACTTTGGTAAAAACCGTGCAAATTGGTCCTAGGTAAGGAGATCAAAAGATCGCTAAATAGCAAGACACGTGAGTTAAAGTTGTAAATACTCCTATAAATTCTTGGTGGAGGTGTCCCGGCCGGTTCTCTGAATCATGAGCCGGATCAAAATGCTATTTTCTTCGCCCATTTTTAGACCTTGCCTTGGTCTCTAACAATCATGAAAGGGGTCAGGATCAGGGGTGGTACTCCCTTCTATAATGGAAGGGTAGTGGGTTTGGGCCTTTTTGGTCTGAAAACACTTTGCCCATTTTGGTGTGGAATCGGGTATGGTTTTCGAGGGAACAACGGGAGCGTACACGAATGGACGTATTTATCGTTTCAATTCCATATGATTAGCAACAAGAGAAAATAGAAATGTGCGAATTCGAAATGCATTTGAAGAATTTTTTTGTTTCCGCTCTAACTTGGTAATGGTGACAAAATTTGTGCCTAATTAGACCTAACCTGTTCAAGGCTCTGAGATAGTTGGGTCCACTGAATTGAGAAAGCAAAAACACGAAAATAAAACGGGACAAAACAGGGGAGTCTCCCCAACTATCTGAGAACCTGGAACAGGCTAAATACGGCCAGGTCCACAAATGGGTACGGATTTTAGAGATCTAGTCTGAAAACGGGTGTGGAAAATGACAATTTTTTGGTCTGCAATAAGGTCAGGATTCGGATTCGCTTAGAATATAACGTTGGATGACTCATTTCAGTTATTATTCATGTATGTGAGTAATCCCTCGCACCTAAATACTGCTTTTGTGTATCACATTGACCTTCTCGTCCGAGTTCTTCATTCAGTCCTCATATTCCCAAGCCTTTATTTGAAACAGAATTGTGGCATCCGATAAGAATTTTACTGATCTGACTAACACCAATTATACTATTTTTTTTAATTCGGTGCTTCTTATTGGTGTAAAACTGCGAATTGAAATCTCTTCAAACTCCTTCTTTTTATAAAATTCAGAGTTTAATTTCAATTGCCTTGAGTACCGACATAACCTTCCTTCTCTGTGGGAAGAATAGACTATGTGAACAGTGTTAAAGCTGGGACTACTGTTTTTGCTAGTCCGCTTTCTATTTCTCTCAGTTTTACCTTCTAAAGCTGTTTTTATATACATAGTCCGTAGTCCGCGTTTTATACCTAGTCCGCGTTTTATACCCAGTCCGCAGTCCGTGGTCCGCAGTCCCGGGGGGGGCACTTTAGGAATTTCTGGGTGGGGATGTGCCGCTGGGACCCTGGAACCCTTGACCTATACCAGAGCTAGTTCAGCTGAATTTTGCTACCCTATACTAGAGTAAACTCCCAAAATCCCCCTATCCTAGAGTAGCTGTTTCCCCAGTCTAGATAAAATCTTCAACCAACTGATCAGTTTCCTGAAAAATGATACCCTATTCTAGACCCAAATGCTCTGATTTATATACCCTATCCTAGAGTAAACTGCTTGAAAACCATACCCTTCACAGCGGCACATCCATGTTTTATACTGACTGGAGTATGTATCTCTATCGGAAATTCCAAGGAAAGGTGGCAAACTCCTCACCAATTAATCTCCTGTGGGAGTAGTGAGGGAGTATGGAACAACACAGTTCAGAAATGTAAGTTTGTTTGAAAATATCAACATTCCATTGCACTGCTCGCAGGGCAACATTCAAAGAAAGTCGTGTCCGATAGCCCGGGCCTGGTGGATTTTGCTATAGGGCTAGTGATTTTTGTTCTCAACTTGCCTGATGGGCAAGTGCTGTTTTTTGGGGAAATTCAAATTGCAGATTGTAATCAATCCTGGTCAATAAAAAGGGTTTTGGGGCTAGTTAAAATGACTTGTGAGCTAGTACATGCTAGCTACTACTGGCCCGAATGGCAGGCTGTAAAACTGACTTTGTTTGCACCCTGGAACGCGAAGTAAATAATGCCTTCCTTCCTTTGGTCACGAAAGAGTGCCATGGGAGTGAAAGGGTTAAACACCTTGATCTAAACAAGTTACTAAGAAAAGCCAATATTTCCACAGACTATGGATACTCTCAAAAGTTGCTCATTCCAACAGTAAAACGACCAACGTTCTGTGAGAGAATTTACTTACCAGAGAATCATGTGTAAATACCGAACAATATAATATTCTGCATGGACCAGGAGCAAGAGAATGGATCAGGAAAGCATATACCATCTCCTACCTCTCCTACTATTTTGTTATTTCGTTCCGAGCTTGGTGGCCGCGTGATTTGATGAAACACCAAGGAATGGACCGACTTATGCACAGAGTCACCAATTTGGGTCTCCAGTAAGTTCGTCACAGGCCGACCTTTCGCACTGTCCGAGTAAGATCGAGAGAAATGCTTTACAAAATACAGAGTTAATAGTTATCGTGACTTAACTAGCAACGTACCTTGAGAATTTTGAATTCTGCGTTTTGAGGCCGTTTTAAGTCGCTTATGAGACTTAGAGAACAGTCTCTCCCACAGGACGCAGTGGAGTGGCCCAGAGGAGTTATTTGTGACCTTACAGTTGATACCAGAGTTGATACCGCGAATCGTACTGTTTAGTGTAAAGCCGAATATGAACTTGAATTGACTGATCAAACCGTCATGCGATCGTATTACAAACATCCAATGCTCGGTGGGAACGATCGTCGCCGCATTTGGAAAGCGATTTCAACTTTCCGAGCGAAGCCCTGAACCTAAGCGAGAAGATTCTGGGGACGAGGTTGAGAGACAAGCTTCTCTCTTTATTAACTGGGTTGGCTCAGTTTATAATTTACCTTCTATTTTCTCTTCGTGGTGGGGGTGTACCGTCCGACTCTCCAAATCCTGACTCTAGACCATATTTCAGACCAATACCTATTAGGCAATGTAAGGAAGTACCAGGGGATTTTTGTGTCAGAAAATGAACGGTATCAAATATGAGCTTAGTAATCCGGGGGGGCATTCCCGGGAATTCGAAGTGGGGGTGTGTTGCGCGGCTCTCCAAATCCTGACGCTAGAACTTATTTCAGATCAATACCTGTAGGGCAAATGTAAAAGAGTACTGTACAGTACCACAAAAGATCCCCAACCGCAAATGATCCCGAGACCACAAATGATCCCCAAAATGGACCGCAAATGATCCTCGACCGCAAGTGATCCCCAAAGTTGACCGCAAATGATCCCGAAAGTTATTAAAATAGGAATGGAAAACATCAATTAAAGACTCGTTTATGTTAGCACCGGATCATCGTGTCTAAATTTCAACGTTTTTATTATTACAAAAAAAATTCTTTTGAACGTTAAATAAATAACAAATAAAATACACGAATAAAAACTAAATAAAAAAATCATTCAAGTGCAAAAACGAAGTCAGTAGGCAACACACGACTTTTACCTCATGCCAAAATGCTGGAAACTGTTTTGACTGAGCAAATGTGATTTTTGCCACTTATTTCATACTGCGAGGTCATGACGCGCATTTTCTGCGGTTACTGTTGTTTCTGGTCAGCATGATTTGTCCTTTAATGCAAGAGCATTTCCTTTGACCTCTTTTGAAATGCAATGCTTTTCATTGCGGCTAAATAAGGGTTTTAGGTTGTTTAATTTTCTTTAAAGTGCCTCATGGATCCGAATAATTATAAGCGACTTTCTTTTAGTCAGTGAATGTGACGGTTCCTACGATGTTTTGTCACGCGATAACTACCGCTTGCCTCGCTTTTGCGTTTCTCATTACCAGGTTTAGATTCCTGAGATTCCTGGCAACTGTCTCCAGCAAAGACACAACAAATGGGTATACATATAAGCGTCAATATAACTATTCGCAACATCTCATGAGCTGTAAGCAAGTTGCTCTTTCAAAATAAACCGAAACCTGTGGACATTGATAAGTTCGGGGGCATTTTGACGTGTGTTTATTTCAAATCATGTCTTGTTTCGTAACGGGCACTCCCAGCCCTGGGGCACTCCTAAGTTACGAACCAATGTCTTGCTTTTTATCACGTAAAATTAACACTTCAGAGAAAAATCAAAACTATATATTCTGAAAATTAATTCGACACTTCTAAAAAGATCAGTAAAGTCAATAAAGCTCTTGTTATGTACAGGGTGCCCGGCTTTGTATCCCTCAGTAGACAAGTTGAGCTTGGGCGTTAAAATAATAGAGTTTTTTCTGCGTAACGTCCTGCCTGTCTTAAATTTTCAGCGACGAAACAGTTCTTTAAAGAAAATTGAAGCAATTGACAAAGGAAGAAGTATACGGTTGATACCATATCCTTTTCAGATTTATTCCACTTTCAGTTTTTTGGCCTTGTATAAATTGACCCGAGATGAAGCGTCCTCCTTCCCTTTTTCTTTAGAAGGCGCGAGAAAAAGGTTCCTTTTTTATAATCAGTCCTTTTTTGTAATCAGTTCCATAAAATCCATTCCATTCCTGAAGTTTTCACGGGATCATTTGCGGTCAACTTTGGGGATCACTTGCGGTCGAGGATCATTTGCGGTCCATTTTGGGGATCATTTTCGGTTGGGGATCATTTGCGGTACTGTACAGTACTCCCCCGCGGATTTTCGTTGTCTTGATGATTAACACTATCAATTATTAACTTGGTAACGATAAAGCATGTTGAGCGAAGGCAGCCATTAAATGTAGCCTCCCTGCAGACGTCCGTTGGGGTTTTGTTGTTGTCACGCATTCATTTCTCCCCCACGGACCCCGCAGACGTCCGTGGGGGAGAAATGAATGCGTGACAACAACCGAACCCCAACGGACGTCTGCGGGGAGGCTACCATTAAATGAAGATGTGTTTGAAGCTAGCGTACTGTGCTTTTTCATCGTCTCCTTAAAAAGATGCTACAATAAGAACCTTTTGCGGTTTTCCTTAACTTTTTGAAGTTTAACCCTTCTGATGAGTTTCTCCCGTCCAAAACGCGATTGCTAGTGTGTGTGGAAACATCCATTGAATAAAGATGTCTCTCACGCTATCATTGTTTTTCAGTGCCTTTTTTAAAAGATGGTAGGATGGGTCGCTTTCGAGGTTTCTTTTCACTTTATGCTGAAGTTTAAACCGTTTAAAATGTGACAGCCAATTTTTCTTTTTTTAGTTATTGCGATTCTTGCTCTACGTGTGAAAGTCATTCCTTACAGGAAAGTAATGTGCTCATTGCTTATTTATATTCATAATGGTGGAATTTGAGAAGCGACTGTACAGCCCCGACTTAAAATGAGACTCATTTTTCTCGTTACGAAAGTCTTCCAAAAGGGTACAATGTTCAAATGAGTTTATGATTCTCTCTATGTCAGGCAATGGTTGGTGATGAGATTATGTGATGGCCGGAGTGTTTGCAGCCACCCCCTCCCCTCAGAAAAAATGGCCCCTTGGCAGCCCAGTCAAATTCGCCTTTCAGCGATTCTTGTTATACCTTAGGCGCTATTATTTCCTTCGCAATTATTTCCCTTCATGGGTAATATTTTATCAGGTTTATAACACGATCGCAATTGGCTTCTATTTTTTGGTAAGAGTATTCAGAGACATCCTGATTCTGTCTGTGAGAATGACGTCAACAATTAGCAAAATGTTCGCGCGTATTATATGCCAAACCATTGAATGAGAGGTTAATTATTTTACTGCAAAAGAAAAATGGTATTTTGGCTTCTATTTTCTAATGAGAGTATCCAAGACATCCTGATTCTGTCAGCCACAGTTGCTCCTTTTGCATCCGCCGGTATTCGCCCTGTTGTAAACCGGTTAAACCAGGACACTATGGTGTATTACGGCCTCGTATTTTGCTTGTTCTCTTGACCTTATTATGGTAAAATGACATAATAGTGGAATAATAAGAGGTCATAACAGACCAACGTTACACTTTTTTGAAATATGCACACCAGAACACTCGCTGTAACTTAATTATATTTATTTCTACCAAGTACACTTATCCTTCAGAATTTTAGTGGAAACAGCACAACAGGCTGTTTCCGCCTCCTCACAGATTTGCGATGAAACAAATATAAAAGAAGCCATTTCACAACAACAGCATGATTGACTTGCAGGAGGAGTCTTTTGGAATTGAAAATATGCACCGCAGTTCACTTTGCTCCCTTCTTCTGGGCTGACTTGGTCGTCTTACCCTGGGTCTTTTCCTCCTTCTCAACTTTCTTGATAACACCAACAGCTACCGTCTGCTTCATGTCACGCACAGCAAAGCGGCCAAGAGGTGGATACTCTTGGAATGTCTCCACACACATTGGCTTGGATGGAATCATAACAATCATGGCAGCATCTCCTGACTTGACAGCTTTGGGATTTTCCTCCAATACTTTACCACTGCGGCGATCTATCTTCTGTAAAATCTCACTGAATTTGCAGGCAATATGAGCAGTGTGGCAATCAAGGACTGGTGAGTATCCTCCATGAATTTCCCCTGGATGGTTCATAACAATGACCTGCATAGAAAGACAAGAATGTGCTACTTAAATGTCACTTTAACCTCTTTAAGACAGTTGCACATGGTTCAACATTGATGAACGATGAATGCGTCAGCTCTTGTTCAACAAACGTTGTCAGGGTATTATAATTATCTAACTAAAGCAGTAAGTGGAATTTTCAGCTGTTGGCAAGTGATATCTATGGAAATTCAAAGAGATTTTCTTATAACTATTTGGCATATCGAGCCCAATTTTTTACAGATGTCGTTCTTTCTGTATCTGACTGGCTCAAATCCACGTGGCTTATTATTCTTCATAACCAGCCAGTTTTGACCAAATATGAAAGAACTTTGGGATAACTGGTAAAATGCATCAATAATAATAAAATGGGATGGCAATGGAAAAGCCTCAGGCACAAGGTTACAGATGCTCAGTTGCTTTGGTAGAGTTGGAGAAAATGGCAGAAAATTTCATACGTTTTGTGAAGAAGGAATAGCTCAACTAAACAGATAGAGAACAGCAACCTAAATTTGTTGAGAAACACAAAATGAAGACAAGAACATCAACTGAGGTAAGAATGTTTAAGGTATGAATTATTTTGAATGAATGTTATAATATTTCTTACAGGAATTGGATACAGCTTTCTTATGATCTGAAGAATTATGTAGATCCTAGAGGGTGTCTTCTGCAGAGGCAGCAGATAACACCATCCTCAATTACCACAATTCTTTCGATCATACTCAGTTTTATCAAATAATATTATTATAGGGGTACACTGCACAACACAATGCAATGGTCTTACATTTCCCATGCTGAGTGTCTTTCTCAAGAAATAAAGAGATAGAGGTAGAGATGAATAATTGAATGTAGGTTGCTGGACTTTTCAGGCAATTTTCACACTGCAAGGATACTCTTGAATTTAAAAGTTAAGTCGAAGTACTTTTGTTGGTTTTCACTGCAACATATACCATTTAACACCTATTGAATTTATCACTATTGAATCCCAAAGTATGCTTCTTTTATTGCATCATCACCATTTTGCTTTTACTGTAGAATCCATATTGACATTAAATATCGCTGGTGATAGAGTTCCTAATCAATGTACATACGATGTTTATTGTTCTGCTTTATCATGAATTAACACTTTCAGGCATCTCCTTGTTTAACCTGAGGTCAGTTAGGCCTGGTTCAGACACTATACTTTTCATGTGCTGAACCTAATTGAATAAGTTTAACTTTAGAGCGACACTGGCGTGACATCTGATTCAGACAGTGCACAGTGTGTTGAGCCTAAGTTAAGTTCGACAAAACTTGGACAGACTCTGTCCAACTTGACACTTTTGCCACACCAGACTAAAACTGCCATACCAAAATTGATTCAGACACCACTCTTTGCCTCACTTAATTCATCACGTTCGGAACATGAGCAGAGCGGCGTCTGAAACAGGCTTTATTTGATCTATTTCATCTTATTTAAAAAACACATTACAAGGGCAGATGAGGGTTGATGAGTTTTCACCAACATACCTGAGCAGTGAAGTTTTTGGCTCCTTTTGGAGGATCGTTTTTGCTATCCCCAGCAACATTACCACGCTTAACATCTTTTACAGAAACGTTCTTAACGTTAAAGCCAACATTGTCTCCAGGCAAAGCCTCTGCAAGGGCTTCATGGTGCATTTCCACAGATTTGACCTCAGTGGAAAGGATTTGAGGAGCAAAAGTAACAACTGTCCCAGGCTTGAGGATTCCAGTCTCCACACGTCCCACAGGAACTGTTCCGATACCTTTTAAGTAGGTTAAAAGAGATTATGTAAGTCACATAATTAGGACCTGTTTATTGTAAATGCAACAGTCTACCCCACCAGAACATTACAACCTGACTTGATGCCTTTCTGAACCTTAAACACCTACTGCGTTATCACCATCCCGTCTCTAATTACTAATAAACCCATCCCCTGTTTATGGATCCATGAGAACAACTTGTTTGCACTTGTACCAAACAGGCTGTGGTAACATTTTCTTTCGAGTATCTCTTTTATCTTTTGTACTTGTTAAATTTCACTTGCAGGGAGGGGGGAGTGAGGGAAGGACAGCTTTTCTGGTAAATAATAGTCGAACCTCCTCCACAATGGCCACCTTGGGGACAGAAGAAAGTGGCCATTATGCAGATCACAACATGTTTGTTGCGCCAAGTTCATGCCTACTGTATCCCATAATGGTAATCCAATCAGAAATAATATTATATAAAGAATTGATGTTTTGAATCAAAATGTCCATGTGACAAAACCAGCAAGGTTCGTAAGTATCATAGACAATTTATGTTTACTTCAGCAGTATAAATGGAGCACAATCCAAAATAGGGTTGCAGCAATTAATCACTGATGTGCCTACGGATTAAAATAATTTAAGGACCATTCTTGACTTTTTCATAAGCCGCTGAAAAAAACTGGCCGTTGTAGAGGGGTTATTTTGGCAGTTTGGGATGCACTGTAGTGGTTGTTGCCATTGTAGAGAGATGGCTGTTGTAGTGAGGTTTATTCAAGAGTCAATGTATGGACTATCCATCGGGGCAAAAAAAGTGGCCATTGTAGAGAGGTGACCATTAGTGGAGGGTTGACTGAACGTTACACATTATATTTACCTCCAATTTTGTAGACATCCTGCAAGGGCAAACGCAGAGGCTTATCGGTGGGTCTTTTCGGGGGCAAAATACTATCCAGGGCCTCAAACAAAGTTTTTCCACTGGCATTTCCTTCCTTACGTTCAATAGCCCATCCCTTGAACCATGGCATCTAAAAATAAGAAAATAATAATGGTGTTTTTTAAAGGTCAAATAAAGCAAAAAATTGACATATTTTCTTTTGTCGCTTTACCTTCACCAAACACTAAAAAGAACCATCCTAAGTGAGATTTGGGTAAAGATTTTTCTTCCCAAGCCTTTATAGAAAGATAAAAGATCAAAATCCGAGCATTTCCAAAAACTTCACGAAAACGTTTCTGAAATGGCCGCGTGATAGACTGGAGACTACATGACGTCAATGTTGGTCTTTCAGGGCGGAAAAACGTTCTGCGCAAGCCTCTGCGCATCCCTTATCGCCTGCGTTTGTTTGTCTAGTTCTGTGAGAGTTCTGATTGAGACTGAATGAAAAACACGAGGTGCAAACTTTTGCTCCTTGTAAAGGCTTTTTTTTTGTTTTTGTTGTTGTTGTTTTTTCGTCACTTGAAAATTACTTTGGATTCAGAACAACCAATGTTAGAGTAAAAACAGATCATCCGTCAGTCTGAGGAGGAATAAAACGTTTTCAACATTTCCAGAGAGGTTTGTATTTTTCTGATACCGATTGTGCATTCGATTTGTGAATTGATTGTGTCCAGTTCTTCGCCTTCTTTCGCCGGACTGAATTAAAACCCGCTTGTATTCTGTTTTTAGTAGTTACGGTTAGTCTTTTTACTTGCCCAGATTTATTTACCGTTGCAGAACCAGCTTTATCCTTATCTTGTGTCAAAGAACCGTAATGCTAACGCTTGCGAGTGAACAAACTTTAGAACTTAAAACTTCCTCGGAACTTTAGAAAGCCAGCAAGTTTACTCGAGAAGAAAAGACTACTTCGATCATTTTTCTGTTGCTCAAGTAATAATAGTCAGAGTTTTTTTCCTTTAGCTTTTTCAGTTTTAATTACATAGTTTTGTTATCTTTCTGTACGCAAATTTTCCTTTCACTCGCTGTGAAGTATCGGAGGACAACAACTGCCGGCAGTGACTCCAAAACAATCGACTCTTTGCACGTAAACAATTGCTGGAGCTGGATTTGACTGAAGCGAGCAAAACAAATCCTTATGTGCAGTTTTCTGTATTTTCTAATAATTCAGTTTGCTGAGTTTAATTTGCTCGAATGAAGACCCTCGCATGGACCAGTTATTACTTAAAAAAGTAGCTATTAAATCTAGCTAAGTAGTCGGAATCATGGCTTGGCTGGGAAGCTTGCAACTGATCTTTTGCTTTTAAGATCTTTAGGTAGGTTGTTTCCGTAGAGAAAATTCACTTCTTCTTTGTCAGCAGGTATAGGAGCCTTAAGCCTTATGTTTTTTTAATGAAAATTTGTTGTTTTGCAACCTTATTGAAGCTTTTTATAAAAGCTGAATTTTATGCATGATGGAATTGTTATTTGCTTGTCGCATCTCTTTGCCAGTTTAAAATTGTCCCAACTTAGACACCAGAAAATACAGTATCTTCAAGCAGAGGGGTTTCTTGAAAACAGGCCTAGAAGTCACCCAGTTAGTACTAATACAGAGCTTAAGCAACCACAAAAGCAACAGCAGTGGAAACATCACTTAAAAAGTGAATTTATGCTGTTTAAAAATTTACCCCTCTTATTCCATCTAATCAATTTGCCAAATGTTGCCGATTTTCTCTGAAGTTGAGTCCTTAAGGACTGTAAATAAGTTCAGAAAAATTCTGTCCACATTCTCCATGAAATGTCATTGCTGTAGTCCAGCAATCACAGCAAATAATTGTACAAAAAAAGCATGCTGCATGTGCAGAGTTGTTTTTTGTTAATCTTAAGCTATTGCTTTTTTGCTGTTGGGGTTGCAGTCATCGTTGCATAAGCTCCCTATTGCTGGCAAGCTGTTGAATACATACATTTGCACTTGGCTCCATCATATTGTCTCCATGCCAACCAGATATGGGAACAAAGGCAACAGCTTTAGGATTGTAACCAACTTTTTTGACATAAGCACCAACTTCCTTTTTGATCTCCTCAAAGCGCTTCTCACTGTAGGGTGGTTCAGTACTGTCTATCTTGTTTACACCAACAATAAGCTGCTTGACTCCCAATGTGAAAGCTAACAATGCATGTTCGCGGGTTTGTCCATTCTTTGAAATACCAGCTTCAAACTCTCCAGTTCCAGAAGCAACAATTAACACAGCACAGTCAGCCTAAATTGTTTGAGAAACAAAACTTTTACTGGTCAAGAACCAATGCAACCAATTAAGTCGTACAGTAGCTCTTCCAGACCTCCATTTTCATTGGCCTAAATAAGCAGTAGCTTCTTTTGCTTGTAATGCTAGGGGTATTGTTTGTGTTGAATCAACCAAATACAACAATGTGCCATTTACTGAGAGAAAAGATTTCGCTTGAAATTCCATTTCAAGAACACAAACACAAACAGATTTTACAGTTTGATTTGGTGTCATCTCTACAAAATGTTCACTATTTGAGCTTTTCTCAACATGGCTTATTAACCCTTTAAGCCCCAATATCCACAAACAAATTCTCCAAACTGATCTCTATACATTTCCTTACAGAATTAGTTGGGAGAAACTGATAAAAGATCAGAGATTTTTCTCTTTGTGATCATTTGATTAATTCTCATGGATGTGGCACTTGACAATCTATGGATATTGTTAGGAGAAAATTGATGTTGGTCACTATTGGGACTTAAAAGGGTTAATCAGCATACAGTAGAGTTTGTGGCTAACATACTCAAGGTGAGACGGACCAATGTGGTGCAAGGTAATATAAAAAAAAAAAAAAGAACACCAGGGAACCAATGAAATGGTTAGCATTAGATAGCCTCAGCTGAAGCCAGATTGTTTCTTCCACTAAAATTACAAGAAGGACAACTTAATTTGAAAGCAGTTATTCCTTGCGTGGTTGTTTTCGTGAATGATCCGCCATCGGCGGAGAGAAGGATCGATTTTGGAGTCTATTTTATTGTTTTATGGTCTTATGGTAGGAAATTATGCCTCGATATGTCCCATGGAAATTCAGAAAATTCATATTTTTGATTCATGAAAATATTAAGGTAACAGGAAAAAAGAAATTTCAGTATTTTAAATTCGAGCGCGCCTAGCCAAAATAATAAAACAAGTAGGACATCATGTCGCTGTCTTTTCGAAAATCCTTAACCTTCTACACCAACAGAAATAACCTTTTAGATCTCTTTTAATCTCTCAAGAAGTTAAATGTGATTGTACTGACTGTTTTATTCTTAGATGGAAAAAAATCAAAAGATAAAAGCTATTTTATAAGTCAGCCAGTCTGCATTTTTCCCACGCATGAAAAATTTGCATACTAGATAAACAAGCAACGGACGTAATTTTGGTTGGCTGATTCGGCAAATGTCAATCAATGAAAAAAGTGGGCGGCAGCCATTTCACAGAAGGTTTGTATCAGGCTCTGTTTTCTGTTTTCTAATGCTAACCCAATGAAATTTCGGCATCTTAAGATCACATGATCAGGGGGATGTCGCTAAAAGCCAGCCGCAAGCTAATTTCTCCAGCTGAAAAAGAGCTTATCACCAGCTCAAATTGAAAGGAAAACAAAGACATGAGGGAATCTTAGAGATGGAGATAAGTAAAACAGCCAGCTTGACTAACCAAAAAGCCTGCTTATCATTTTCTTAGCTACATCCTTGCACGACGGATATTCAAAGTATTCTTATGTACTATTGTGTGTATTTTTTGCATGTGTATTTGCATGTGTACTTCTTGTGTAATTTGCATGCAATATTGCATATTATGGAGGAGACCTTGTTCCAAGAAACACAAGATCTCACAAGCAGGCCAGCTGCCTTTCATACAAACACAACAAAAAAATATAAAGAAATAACGCAAGAGTCAAGCCAGCCCAACAAAATGGGTAAACATGCTTAACCAGGCTGACTTGCCTCTTTTAAAACGGGGAGGCTGGGTGAAGTGATGCTGCTTCATTTTTATGGCAACCCCCATTTTTGTCGCTACAAAAAAGTTTCGAGTCTAGCATTTGACATTCTCCCTGAAACTACAATATTACTGCAGAGATTGTCTTCAAGAGCTTCTTTTTTAACTGAGTGAAAATTTGTGGCTAACCTGTGATGTTCCAGTGATCATGTTTTTGATGAAGTCACGATGACCAGGGGCATCAATGACAGTTATGTAGTACTTCGTTGTTTCAAACTTCCACAGGGCAATGTCAATGGTAATACCACGTTCACGCTCTGCTTTGAGCTTGTCCAAGACCCAAGCATATTTAAAGGATCCCTTGCCCATCTAACATGGAAAGAGCAATCAATAAAACTTTCAGCAATGTTATCATAATAGAGATGACTTCACCAGTTAACCAAAACACAAATAGAGTACCGAAGTGATGACGTCATAAAAATGAAATTTGCGAAATTATGGGATTTGTTAAGATATTCTGAAAGAACAACGTCCAAGACGCCTATTCGCCAAAAATTAGCAATTCGGGGCAAATTGTCTCTGAGATATTAGACAAGTTATGCTGAGACGATTCCATACAAATCCTTCTAAATTTGGCTTGGTTCATAAGATTAGGAAGCGGGTAAGATTTAGAAGGATTTGTATGGAGTCACCGGAGCATAACTGGGCTATTATCTCAGAGACAATCTGCCCCAAATTGCTCATTTTTGGCGAGTAGGCGCCTTGGACGTTGTTCTTTCAGAATATTTTAACAAATCCCATAATTTCACAAATTTCATTTTCCATGACGTCACACTTCGGTACTCTATTCCGCCCAGGCGAAAATGTTAGGATTGACCAGGTTTCTAGGTTTGTCTCGCCAGTAAGTAAGGTCATTCAGCTTGCTGAATTCCCAGTCCTTTACAAGAAAAGATCAATAGTGCCATCAAAACATTCTTTGATTTTATCCCCAACGGACTGCTTTAATATTGTTGTTGAATCAGAGAAAATTATATACTCATGGTGCCTTTGGTTTTAGTTCCTTGTGAGGATGAAATGGATGCCTTCCTCCCCATGCCCAGTTGCTCCCCAGTTTCTCCAGCCTTTGAATGCACTAGCTTCCATCTCATTGGCAAGTTTCATAAGTTAATGTGATTCTACTGAAGATCTTCAGATAGAGCATGATGAAAAAATGCCTCCCAGCCTACAATCAGCAACTTTGGTGCAAAATTGGTGATATAATAGAACTATTTTCCACTAACAACACCGAGCAACCTTTTACATTTTACAATGACTTTGTTCTCAAAATTGTGAATTGAGTCCAATTTAAAAGGGACTTGTGCAGAATACTGTAGTAAGAGCATAACACTCAAGATCTTGTGATCAAATTGTAATGCAAAGCCAATTTTTGACAAGTAAACATACTGCTTTTCAATCTCTTTGCCCTTTTTGCATGACTGCGATGTGGAAATGCCTTATTTCAAGTTTTGCAGAGAACATAAACAAGGCGCAGCAAAATTTCTCTTCTCTTTATGAAATTGGATATGGTCCCTTGGAATTCAACATTGGTTGGCCTACATTAGACAAACTGGGTAGGAAAAATTGGGATGAAGACTGAAAGAGCACAAATTCATGGCAGGCTCACACTAAAGCAACAGTTATAAGCGTAAGCAAATGTGTGAGAGCCTTAACTTGTTTTTAAACAAGTTCTACCTGTTCAAAGTTAGGCTTGATCAAAGAAGCAAACAGCCACTCGCAGTGGTTTCTCTTCCTTAGTTGTGTAGTGTCCAGCCCGGAGAAACCGCTGCTCACAGGGCGAGGTATAGTAGTAGAGTAATTATAGACATAACTAAACCATTACTTTAGGTTTTTTTTCTAATTCCAGTGCATTTTTAGGGTTTTAAAGTAATGTCGAAAAATTGTTGCATAACTCTTATCTCTTTAAAGGGGCTGTGTCACGGCAGTCCAGTTCATTTTGTTTAATTTTGCTGATTACTCACCCTCAATCGCTATGGAACTTAAAGTAAGCAAAGAAATTACATGTAAATGACAAAGTCAGAGATTCGAGACAAACAAATATGTCTCCTGGGCTCAGTTGTTCGAAGGCCGATTAGTGCTTAACCCAGGGTTAAATTTCACCCGGGTTTCTTTTTCTTTTGTTCAAAAGCATTTTCATGGATAATTTTCTCCCTTATTTTGAAGAGCATTCAACCATCAACTTGATGACAGAAAGAATTAAACTGAATCTACTTTTCAAGGTTTCAAATCTTTATTCAAATTTCGCACTAACCCTGGGTTATCTTAACCCAGCTTTGAACAACCCAGCCCTGAGCATTATTTTTGAAGTTGCAAACTGCAGAGATAAACTTTGAAAAACTGTTAGGCTGAACAGTTTTCAAAAACCCTCATTTTAATGCGTTTCAATCTTCTTCAATTTTGCCCATTCGTGTCTGTTGTATCTGTTGTGTTTTAATGTTTTAAGCGGCTATTTTTGTGTTTCTCGTGGATTTAACCGGCATTTTGTAATTGCCTAATTTAGCTGAATTTCGTGACACAGCTCCTTCAAGTTTGCGTGGACACTTCTTGCAAAAAATGATAATAATACACATGAAAACGTTGTATGCCAGCATATCACCATAAGCAGAAGTGCTACCGAAAATTGGCGCGAGAGATACATGAAATTTGGAGGAAATTAGCAGGAATACCTTGGCTTTAATAGATGAAACAGTACGCGACGAAACAAACCTCAAAAACTACATTATCAGCCTTCACTGTGGCCTACTTGAAAGACGGCAAATTGCACAACACGCGAACAGAAACAGAACTTACTTCTGCAGCCTCTTTCTCGAATTTTTCGATGGTTCGCTTGTCAATCCCACCGCATTTGTAAATCAAGTGGCCAGTAGTAGTGGACTTGCCAGAGTCTACGTGTCCGATAACGACGATGTTAAGGTGAGTCTTTTCCTTTCCCATTTTGTCGGCTGTGAAGAAATCTTTGCGACGAGATGTTCCTGAAAGGAAAGTGAAAACTATGAGAATAAAAACGTAGTTCTCACTTAAAAACCCACATTCCCGAGTTCACTTAAAAATTTCAACGGGAATATTACTGCTTGTCACGCTCTTTTTTCTCAAATTTTATATTTAAGTAAATTTTTCAGTCTTTTTAATACATCACGTGTCAGAGGGCATTCGACCTACTCAAAAGCGACTTTCAATTCCCCAAATATAGTTCTTATTTCACGAGGCGGGTTAGGCAAATGACAATTAAAAAACGTGTAGTTTTTGACATTACATCCAAGGACCTTGTTTTCGCTATAAAGAAGCAAAAACGTACCGAAAAAAAAGTCTCGTATGAAAGGAAATGGCCACTACAACGCACGCAAGATGGTGAGAAACTTTACCGTTCTAAAACCTGAAAAAAAGCCCAAACTACAAGCTTTAAAAGTAAGTGCCATAGAATATCAACATTTTTGACGAAAAACTACTTCTCGATGGTACTGAGAAGGGGAAGATTAAGGAGGGTTAAATGGAATAAACCATGACTTCCTACAAACCTTCGCGTCACTGAGAATCCACGGATAAAAGAGGCCGGTTCTGGAGCGTGGTACGTAATTTATACTCGACTAGAGGGGGGTACTGATATTGACGTCATTGCGCCATAATAAGGAGGCATTGTGCAATCTCTAGCACATGAATTTCCGCTTTTTAATGAAAAAAAGGAACGGTAAAAAAAGAAATACGTATTTTCTCAAAGAAAGTAAGGGAAAGTTTCCACAATCGCAAGTAAAAAAGTACTATTGAAAAAAAGGACGCGAGAAACTCGTGTAAAATTTACTAAGGGTGGATTCATTTGAAGAAAACGCATAAAAGCTGCCACATTTGTCCGCTGGAATCTTGATTGTTTTCGAGATGAAAAACAATGAATTCCAACGGGCAAATCTATGCTACAAATGAATCCACCTAAATGAGACGATGGCCCAAATTAGCGCTATTGTCTTATTCCTCGCACGTGCAGCGTCACTGCAAAGTTTCGTCCTGAAAGTGTGAGATTCTTTTTTGTTATATGGGCAAAAATGAAACCTCAAGCACGCAAACAAAACGAACGAGTGTATGTTTGTTGAGTCACTCAAACTCTAGATCTGGCCCTCCATAAAACTAACGAAAAATAAATTTGCCTTTTACACTTAACTTCTAGCCTTGCTTTACAAAGTTGCAGTTGTTTTGTTGTAAGCCAGTGGTCTTTTGGGAATTTCATCACCTAGTTATTGTGTCCGTTGACATCTTGACCAGTTTGATCAGGCAAGCAATTTTTAAAATTTAATCATTAACTGCAATTTGAACTAGAGGAACGAAATTTGGCTTACTAAAACTTGTAGTTTCGAGAGAAGCAAATGACAAAAAAAAGGGCTTCTAAGTTATGCTTAGCATGGTGGTGGCCGAAAATCTGGACAGCTGTTTTCATTGTTTGTTATTGTCGTTTTAATTGGTATACATGTACGCCACTTGCACATCTACAATGATGCTCATTATTTTCCCCCAAAATTTTGCATAACCATTGATTTTCATTTCTCCTGGGTATTACAGCCGTCCCAAGAGAAACTGAAAACAATGCTAATTTATAGAGTAGCCCGCAAGAGCATCCGGTTTTTTCGGCTCTAGTTTCACCCACCGAATAATTTTTCAGAGGCCAGAAGCGACGACCGGAGATACGTCTGCGGTTCGTTCGTTTACTGACTTCAGTGTGACTTTACTCTTTATTGCTTCTACACAAAAATATGTTGTTTTAAGCCAGTTTTAACTAGAGGAACCGTTCGGGACTGTTCTTATCTGCTTATTTTCTATTCTGAGAAATTCTAAACTTGAGTCTGATCTTTGCCGCAGTAAACGTGAATCTTAAGCAAAATTTTGGGGGCAAATAAGGTACATCGTGGGAGATGTAAGATCGTAACTTAACTCCACCCCTACTCACATCTCTGAACGCCTGTTGCAAGAGACTGGGAATGAAGGCTGTTTGTGGTCGCATAGCAACAATCATATGACTTCTAAACTAATGAGATCACGGAGTTCTAGAACAAAAAGTCAAAAACATTTATATTTTATTGTGTATTAGCGGATGTTTTCCTTATGGCAGTGAATTATCCTTCTGAAAGCAAGAAAAGGACAACTTGAATACTTAACTGTGCTGGAAATTCTTGTAAAGAATGGCGGAAAGGGAATCGAGGGGAATTCGGGCAAAAACCGCGGGTAGATTTCCGGACTCAACATGGCGGGCAGGAACGCCGAGTCTCTATCACGAAAAGTGTGCTCCACAGACTGAAAGAGTGAAGTCTGCTCCACCAAAAACATATGCTCAGAGAGAATATGCCAAGTGTGATATTGTTCGAAATGATGAGATCTGGAAAAATCGCTGTCGAAACGAAGGGAAAATGGCAAGGAAATGGTATGACTATGATACATTTCAAAATCTTTAAATTTTTGTTTAGGGTGGGCAAACATACAGTTGTACTTTCTTCAGAAGAATGAGAAAAGATATTCCATGTCATTTCGCTTCACAATCTAAACTCACGAGGTTTAAACCCTCTTCATTCATATTTCCGGGTTGGTCTGACTTCTTAAATTATTTAATGGCGTCTTGCAGGTTACACTTCTTTCCCTTGTATATTTGAATAGTTTGTAAATGTGTGGCAGATGGTCAGACAGTGCAGTTCAATTGTGGTTGTATAACGTCAATTTGACTAGCCTGCGAAAAGAGCCGTTTCTCCTCGCTCCTCGCCCCTTGGGACGTTTCAGGGGCACCCAACGAGAATATTGTTGAAAACCACTTAAACATAGCATTGCTTAACGTATTTTCATATTTAAACGGTAGATATAGGCATATTTTTATCCCCTAAAAATTTTTCATCTGTTTGGATTTCCTAGCTGAAAGTCTAGTGATCCAAAAATTATAGGGATCAAAACTTACCTTTTCGAAAATTTCAGCGAGAAAAAAGGCTTCCGAAAATTCCAGGTGACCTTTTAAGGGTAAAAATCCGTTAAAAATGGTCATTTACAGTAGTTTTTAGATGTTCAAAAATCCTAGGAGAGGTAGGCAAGCAAGGAATTTTGCAACAAATGTTCCGAAAATTCTAGATCTCAAATCGTCTTCCGAACAGATATTTTCCGAAAATTTTCGTATTATGTAAACATTGATTTACGTCATCAGTATGGAATTTCTGTCGCTGAGTCGCAGACGTTCCTCCTCGCGAAATGTCACCTAGCAGCAATGAGCAAGGAGAAACGTCTGTTTTCATAGGGTACAATTTGACTTTTTTTCAATAAGAGTCACAAGAGCGGCAAGGGGTTGGTGTTTAGGTGTTTTAAATGCCACAAAAAAAATATGCACCTGCTCCAAACTGTAAATAATAATTTAAAAAAACCCACCAAACTACGCAGATTGTCCAACCCTTTGGGTAAGTAAAGTGGGATATTTTTCAATGAACAACAAATCAAGCGAGCAATGAAGGCGCTAGCCTGTGTTGCAGCCAGACCCAGCTAGATCATATAGAGAACTTGATATTAATAGTCCCTCTGCGCAACGGCTCCCAAAAGCTTGTTGTGGTATCTGCAGGTTTGCAGGAAAATCTGTATCCATTTCTGATTGGCTACATTCCTAACAAGCTCTGTGATTGGACATGCTTCGTGCAACAATCTCGTAATACTCCACAAGGCTAAAAAAATAATGTACAAGTTGCAGGACACACAAAAAAAATAACAGCACTTTGCATAGCAAAAGACCAAAGAACTTACATCTGATTGTCGGTTTGTTATAATTTATGCTTTAGTATTATAGGAAAAAGTTTTTGCCTGCTAGGGGATAGAAACAGTTCAATGTTTTTTTCCAAAATTGCAAGTTTGAAGAAACTGCCTTGCAAAACTAAAGAAATGATGATGACTCATTGAGCAAATCGAAAATTTAGAAGAAGAGCTCAGAAGCCTGAATCAAATCAAAGTTAATACACTGGCATTGAAATGATCTGTAACAACTGAGATTTCCTAGTCTCCCAAGAGCAAAGGCCACCAGACATCTCTAGAGTACTGCCCTGTGTATTCACTGAAGAGGCTGTAAACAAAAGAAAATTCTGGCTGATTTGTAAGACAAAAGAAAAAAGTTTTAGGCAGTATTTGCAATAGATTCAGTATAAAATTAGCCAGCAAAAATAGCCTATATTTTGCGATGCCACAAATGGTTTCATGGCAAAATGACATCTGGAGAGCGAGCACTGTCAAATTCATTACTGATGAGGTGTCACCACCCAGATCTGTGCAGTGCTTATGACTGGTTGAAGTAAATTTACGACTAATAATCAAAAGGACTGCCCAGGTCAAGGTAGTGACACATTACCAGTATGGAATTTTTGTGCTGGCTCCTCAGATGTCATTTCACAGGGAAACTTTTGGTCATATCACAAAATGTTAGCTGTTGTCTCAGGCTATGATAAAATATTATTAACTCTGAAAAATAATCTGTTGCTGTCATTCAATATTTTCAGGGAAGAAAACTGGGGATTTCTCAAAGATTATGATCCGAAGGGAAGATTCAAGCCACCAAAAGAACTACCAGATAAAGTCAGTGTATTCTCAGACAAGGTTCCCAACACTACAAGTCAACAGTTTGGTCACAGGGTGAAAAGTGCTCCAGCAAGGACAATGCAAAAATTTGAAAGACTTACAAACTACAGAGTCAAGACCAACAAAGAGTTACTCTGTTATGACTAAATATATTGCTTCACTACCAAATCAATTTAAATATGGGTACATGCAATGAATTTAAGATTTGTATTGTTTTCTTGACTAACAAATGTTAGGGTCAATCTACTCCTTAAGGGGTACTGTGGTGGGTTTTGTAATGCCCTATCCTTTTAATTTGGGCCTGGTTTAAGAAAGATCTTGCCTTCAAGATGATAAACAAATCTGCCTTTTAAAAAAAAAGGGTCAATTTAGGTTAATTTTTTAATATATTCCCATTCTTGACATTTTGTGTCACTGCTATTCTCTAGCTCTACACCCCTGAGAGAAGGGTTGGGGGGGGGGGGTCTGAACCAGGTTTTATAAGGGGAGGCTCCGCCCTGAGGTCCGACCCCTTTCCCCCTTTACCATTTTTGACAGAAAGGTACCCCTTTCACATACTTGTATCAGGCAAAATTTGTACCCCTTTCACATACCTATAGTTAAGAACTTTTTATCCATTTTAAATGGTATAAATGCACTATCTTCAGATCATTTTCTCAACTTTTTCATGGCCATAAACTGCATCTCTTAGCCCTGTTGGTCCTATTACAAACCGAAATGACAGATTTCCCACCCCTTTCATATACTTCAACGAGTAAAATCCCTACCCTTTCATATACCTGAAGCCTGAAAAAGGTACCCCTTTCGGGCAGAGCCTCCCCCTATAGGCCATTGTAGGGAGCACCCCTCCAATCTGCACCTCCCTGCACACCTGCTGAGTCTCTATCAAGGTGTCATTGATGTCAGTAATCTAGTAATGGAAAAATTATTTAATGTCTGCTGTAAATCTTTCAATTATTATTCTCACTGAATATTAAATAGTATAACTTAAATTCTACAGTTCTACTCTGGTTGAGGATCTGTAAATTGTGCACATAAATAATTCAAAATATGTTTGTATTAAAGTTTAACATTATAGGAAAATGTGGTTGTATTGATACTAAGTCATTTAGATTCAAGTTGTTTTGAGACGAACTTAAGCAGTGAAACTGCACAAAAGTTTCAAAAAGTGCGTGAACAAGAAGAACACATGACGTGAATACTCCTTGTTCTATAAGGCAACTATGCAAAACTATTGACACCTCGACTGAATCAACTTGTATTGAAACAACTTGTAATGAAACGTCTTAGTATCGAAAAGACCGATATTTAAAAAAATGGAAAATGTATTATATGCTGCACAGCAAAACTAGATGTTTTGCTCATGCAAACACCTTTTTGAAGCTGTTGGACTATTTATATTATTAGGAAAGTGTTTGTATTCAAATATTCTATGAATGTTCAAAGTTGGTGCTTTGTAAAAATGCAATAAATTATAATATGGGCTTGAGGTTCTCAAAGACTTTTCAAGCTACACATTAAAGACGGACTCTGAGCCTAGAATTTGGTGTTTTTCTCATCCTCAGTGTTTCATTCTAGCCTGCGAATGGCAGAAGTTTCTCCTCGCTCATCGCCGCTGAGGGACGTTTCACGAAACGTCCCTCATCGCCACTGAGGGACGTTTCGTGAAACGTCCCTCAGCGGCGATGAGCAGAGGAGAAACATCTGCCGTTCGCAGGCTATGTTTCATTCATGCTTTCACGGACAATGGATGTGTGCCATTGGTCTACCATAAAACTAGAGGCTCCCCTGTTATATAAAATAGTAGAACTTATACAGAGCTTTTAATAAAAAGCATTTGTCTTTAAGTATAATGTAATTCCAAAGTATTCTTTCGCATAGGTAGACAATAAATTATTCTGTTAACCACGTGGTGTAGCCATACTTTACTTTATACTTGACTTAATAAGCCTTACTGTATGGGGGGGGGGGAGGGTACTTTAGGGTGGGGATGTGCCACTGGGACCCTGAAACCCTTAGTCTAGTTCAGCTGAATTTGTCCTGTTCACAGGCTAAGCTGAATTTTGCTGCCCTATAGTAGACTAAAGTTCCCAAATCCCCCATATCCTAGAGTAGCTGTTTTCCAGAAACTACTGAGGTCACTAGCACAGTCCAGCCAAAACAAAACCAATTTGATTTTTTTAGATTTTGAGTGGCAATTCCCGGTTTCCCCAGTCTAGACTGAAATCCTCAACCAGTTGATTAGTTTCCTGGAAATGATACCCTATTCTGGACCCAAACTCTCTGATTTATATACCCTATCCCAGAGGAAACTTCTTGAAAACCATACCCTTCACAGCAGCACACACCTACATCGCCCATATATGGCAGTATTTTTTGCCCCCCATTTATTGGGACCCAGTCGGGATGGGCACAACCAGGACTCGTACCCACCCATTCTTTTAATAAAGGAGCTATGTCAGGAGGAATGGTGGATTTTGAGGGCTGTTTTAGATCAGTTCTTTGCTGAAGTCATTACTTTGTTCCTTTACCCGTGGACAAAATGTTTCTTACGGTTGTGAAGAAGCTATTCAACAAATATTGATCATATTATGTCCATCCTTGCCATCCTTTGCAAGAGACGACAGGAAGTAATTTCAATCCCTAAATATAGTCTTCAATAACAAAAGTGGAACATTGTCAGTGGTAGTCTGCTACACAGCCGTTTTTAGTGTCGTCACGACACTAAAAACGGCTGTGTAGCAGACTATGTCAGTGGCGGATCCATACCTTCAGATAAGGGGCAGGCCCGGTCATCCAGACCCTGAGATAAGGTGGGAAGGGCGCGGTCTCAAAGAAATTGTTTTTCGGCCCTTCGGACCTCAGTTTGGTCTGAAAATAGGGAGGGGCCGGGCCCCCCAGGCCCCTCCCCTGGATCCGTCACTGATCGATTGTTTATGGAATTGAATTGATAGAAAGACAAGTTTTATCTTTTTATAAAGATAGCAAATAGCATGACATAGCCCATTTAACCCGTTAGAGAGGTATTGGGTCGTTTCACCGGAAGGTCGTTTCGCTTGATGACAGTTCGCCCAGACTCCTAAGTCGGTTAGCCTGATGTCAGGAGCCCATAACCCGGAGCGAGCAACTCTCATACTAGGTCTATGCCAGGGCGTTTTTACGGACCAGTTTATTTTTATACACATTTAGGGCATTTTTCCCCGCGAAAATAGAATCTCCACCATGTCTATGAGCGCACTCGAATGAAGAAAAAGATATCAAAAAGGAAAACTAAACGTTATTAAAAGACAAAAAATATCATTTTTAGGTCTGTAGGTTTTGCTGACTGGCCATGGTTTGTGGAATTTAAAAGATATTCAAAATTCGCGCCAAAACCGTTCTAAAAATAAACATGGAAAGCATGGAAAGACAGTGACTGCACATGTGGAATCCAAGGTTAACTAAAATAACATCTCGCATGCAGAAGTAGGTTCACCATGTTGCAGAGTGTCGTATGTCATTGGGCGAATCGACTTAAATCCTATCAAACGCTTTTCGGGCGAAACGACCGCAATTCGTGAGAGATTGGAGTGGTCACAGCCGCACTGTTTTGTTGTTGTTGTTGTTGTTGTTGTTAGTGTTTGTTTTACGTCCTTGTGGTTCTTTTAACGGTACGGTACGTCCTGCAAGTGTCAGATCAGGAAGGTGCTGTGAGATGTGACCTGTGGTTTTGTCCTTAACACCAGAACAGTAGAATGCCCAGACCCATTTAAAGTAGCCTGGGACCAGGCTCCGCAAAGTGGAAAAAAGGAAAATAAATCGGCGTTGGCGAAAACAAATCAGCGAGCGAAGTGAGCCGAGACTAGTCTGGGAAGGGGAAAGGGTGGATTCGCTCATCGATATTTTTCCTATTTCAGCCCGCTTACGCCTTTTTCCCCCACTGCGGAGCCTGGTCCCTAAAGATTTCAAACAAAAGCAGCACCCTAAGCTATCCTGACCCCGTTTAAGATAAAATAAATTGTTCATTTCCCCAGTTCATTTCCTTATCCTGTTTAAGATACCTAAAATTATGATCCTGACCTGTTTCGCCTTGCATAGAGAATTATTAAATAAGTAACTTTTTAAACTAACATTATGCATTAGAGGCTTCTGCATCCTGCAAATGTTTTTGTTTTTTTTTTTTTTGGAAAAAAAAATGTGGGTAGCAAAAAATACCGTTCACCGTAAAGGGCACCCTGTTGAAGACGCTAAATAGTCAAATTGCATGCCCTGTTAAAGAATCAAGACCCTGAAAACCAGACCTTGTGTTCCTTGGCCCCTTTAGGCCAAAGTGAGCCTTGTAAAATTATTATTCTTTTGTCCTTTTTTTACTTTTTATTCAAAATCAGGACCAAAAAGACTAGAATACACGATCATAGTATTTCTTTAGTGGAACTCAAGTAGATAACAAAAACTAGGGTAACGTGATTTTCACAAAAAAAATTGTAGTTTCTTACTGGACACTAGTGTTAAATTCTTGTCGAATAATCGTAACATATACAGTCGACTCTCTCTTAACGAACACCTCTACAAGACGGACACCTCTGTAAAACGGACACCTAGAGTTGGTCCCTGCCTTTCTTTCCTCCCTCTATTTGACTCTCTATAAGACGGACATCTGTCTAAGACGGACAGCTAGTACCGGTCCCAAAGGTGTCCGTCTTAGAGAGAGTTGACTGTATTGAAAGACTAGACAAAAGATTGAGGCCACCCTTTCTTTTTTCCTCTCTTTGCCGCCATCCGACCTTAACCTTTTTTATTAAAAAAAAAAAGGACGCAGTTTACTAAGATTTTAAGAAACATTAATGGTACTTTTCATCTTTACCGTTTTATCAGAACACCTGTATATAGGAAAAGCGAACGATATATTCAAAATAAAAGGATATTCGAAAGTGGTAAGCGTCTTATGAAACATGCATCCTTTAATACACCTTCTTCTGTTTCTGTGCAGATGCAGACAACGTAAAGTTAAAATTAATGAAATTGTTAAGCTTAAGTCCTTGGCTGGAACACCAATGATGTCAAACGACAAACAACAGTTCCTGTGGACTACGAGTAGTCCCCCATTTTTCCTCAGGGATAGTAGAGCGAGCGAAACGCGAGCGCGCGTGAAAATCACCCCACGCGAG